GATTTTAATTTTAATTGTTTTTACAAGCAAGCATTACCTATGGTCCATTTAGCTTTTCTCCCCCCCTAATTGACCATGACATCATACCAGAAGAGCTTTTCATTTGTGGGTTTTATGTTTCCAATCATATGATGTCTTTTGTCCTTTTCTTCTCTTGTTATTGTCTCAAACAAGGCATGTTATATTGGCTAGGAAAAATGGTAGCAGCCCCAACCTAGCCGGTCTTGTAGGATAGTTTCTGCCACAGTGGCACCCTTGTTTAGTTCCTATCCGTTGCATGTGTCACACAAAGTGATGGCTAAGTGGGACTTATTAGCATGTGATTGCCAGAAGTTAATTCTTTATTTTAAAAATGCAAAAATTAAATTTCGGAAAAACATAAGACGAGATTCGAATTCTCCAAAAATAAAAGAAGTCGAGAGTCAAATTCTCCCGAAAAAAGAAAATTAGAGTCGAATTCTTATAGTGAGCATAAAGATAAAGTATTATACTAGATAAGCTATATAAATTCTCATAATTAGAGTTCATTGTTGTTACTGTCTTAGGCTAACATCACCTTCGTTTGATTCAACTTATTTTTCTTTTTTCAGATTCTTGTAACTTATACATCAGGATCTTCAACTTGGCATCCAATTCTTCACTAAAGTGACACGCAATTATCTATTTATATATGCTGGCTTTATATTAATTATGATAGTGATTTTAAATACTAAAAACACTTACTTAGTCAAACGGGTTTGGTTGTATGCTTCAAGTGATTGCAACTCTGCAAGTACTTGCAAGGCAAGGCTCTGGTTTGGAGTTTCCATGGGGTGGGCCTATAACTTCCTCTCGATGGATTAATTCTCTTTACAACAAATATTTACCTTCAACCATATATTTCACTTATAAGTGATGTTGACACGTGAGAATTGAATCGAACATAAAACTTCGAATGTACAGAATAAATACTCATTAACTTGAGGTACAAGCTGCTTACTAAATCTTTACCTACCTTTAATTTTTAATTATTGGTATGGACAAGTATGTTACTTGTGTGAAAATTTAAACCATTTGCTAGAGTAATCATTCAAGATGACTCCTCTAGTCATGAGAACATATAAAGCCATGGATGCATATTATCCTTTTCAATAGCGAAAGACAAATTAAATATGGAGCATTTTTTCTCACCACTTTAATTCAATTCTCATTATCCTTCTCAACATTTAACACTGTCCATGGACATAACCATGATTCCACAAATACAAAGCAAATAGCTAACTATAGTTATGTCTATGAACACGTGTCAAGTGTTAAGAAGGAAGAATACACCTTAAATTAAAATTGTGAGCAAAAATATTTCCAATTAAATATGCTGTAAAGTCTCAACTCTCTTTAATTAAATCACTTATGACTCATGATCATAAGTTAATTAAGTCAAAAAGGTGTCCTTAATTATTCTTTGTACTCCAAAATGGGCAAAATTTCAAATCTCACCAATGTAGTGCATTTACGTACATAAAACCTGCAGTGAATTCTAAGCTTTCATTCCTAATGGTCAAATGACTGTTTTTTTTTTTTTTTTTTTTTTTTTTTTTTTTTTTTTTTTTTTTTTATGAATTTTGAGAGTAGGTTTTGGGGGGATTTTTCGAACGGTATGGAATTAATTAACTCTGACCCAACGGTCGACTACCTTTGGTCACTATAAAGAGAGGCAGATTGTCCAAGAATTGAGGGCTGGTAATTAATTAATTAATTAATTACTTAAATCACATAAACAGTAATTTTGAAAAAGAAGATGCATTTTGTTTGTTTTTTTTTTACCATGACTTAACAGTCAAACTGGGCCAAAATGAAATGATGAACTTACGTTTGCACTACAAACAAAGTTGAATGAATTGATTGCAAACTAATAAAAGTGCTGCTGTAACTTTATATGTTCTTATGTCAATTATTTTGCCACATACATTTGCCTGTAAAAACCAAAATATAATGGTGTCGACATTAGCCTAGATGTAAGATTAAAAGACAAAGAATTCTCACATTATGCGACGTGACAATAATGAGGATAAGTGTTGAGGAGTATAAATAGAAGCAGAGACGATAACGAAAACATACCCATCCCCACCCTATCGTGTTGTTATCCCCATCCCTAATACGCTTGACGGTCTAAATTGGCCAATTGGTAGGGCAACGGTGGTGGGAATTGTCATCAGAATATGCCGAGACCACCTAATTAAGACCCCCATATGAGAACACTAAATGTAGGAACATGGTCAAGCCAATGAACTTGGCTTGCCGGTTTATATAATAGTAATACAAACTTGGTGTGTGTACGGAGGGGATATAGATTGATGACCTTTGTTTACATCCATTAATGTTTGGGACACAGAGAGGGAGACATCTAACACCAAAGCCATGAGCACTCCTGGCCCATAAAAAGAACTCAAACTCCTCCATCCATTGTCATGGTGGGCTAGAGAGAGAGAGAGAGAGAGAGAGAGAGAGTGTGTGTGTGTGTTATCTTAATAAACAAATAAATTAGGGTAGGATGCAATGCCCTATGAGGATGCATCTCTGGGCACTGTTCATTTTACATTGAACCTTCCCCAGAAGATTTAGCACTTAATAAATATTTTGATTCTGTAAATGTCGCACTTTCTCTTATTTTTATTTTATTTATACCCTTTTTAAATACAGTTTGTGAAAGTCTTAAAATATCTCCAAAGTCCATGCACATACACACCTTGGAATTGGAGGAAATCAACCATTTTTTCACAAAAAGTAATTGACTTGGAGGCCCTCGAGATAATCCAGGCCGTTGGATTAAGAGAGAACTACTTTGTCGGTGTCGTTTTTGTAGGTACTTTGACATGGAACTATTTTAAATGCCATCAAAAATTGGCTGTCTTTTTTTATGATGGTAATGCAAAAAATTTCATTCATCTGGATAGATTTTAATATACAATTGCGTATAAACAATAGTCATTCACAAGAATGTAAATGACTCAAAACCCTTTTAAGTGAAATTAGTTGTGATCTTGCTTAATATTTTTCTATCGCCATTTTATAAGATTTATTAGACTTGAGTGATGTCTGGTTCATTGAAGTGAAATTTTAAATGAAATTATAATTCTCGTGGATCTCACATCATTAGCTCACCATGATGATTTATAAGTCCAAATTCAAGTCAATCGGGTGACGATGATTACGTAACATATGTAGCATAAAATCCGAAGATACCAAATGTAGACTCAAAGCAAGCAACCTAAGAAGAAAGGGAAAAAGACATAACCATTTCTGAAATTGAGTTTTTTTTCTTCCCTTTTCTTCTCCTGAACTTGTACACACGCAATGTATCTTGTTATTTTTTTTCAAGTGTTAGATTAGATAGTGTGAAATAAGCAACACCAAAAAACACAAAATATTTGAAAATGAGAAAGCAAGTAGTTTGGTCAAATCAGGTTAGGAGGGTGAAAAAAGTAATATACATTGTCAAAGCATATGACAATTGCATTTGAAAATGACTGTTGAGTTAGGACATATTCTATGAAAAAGACTGAAATTATGACATATTATAAATTTATTTATTTATTTTAATATAATTATAGTCAAAACTACAAGTGGAAGGAGGTTTCTCATACCCACTATTGAGATGTCATAAAGAGTCGAATATTTGATTACTGATCTGTAAGTCAAGTCTTTTTTTAACGGGTTAGATCCATTGACTATGAACAATATTTAAATGCACCTCTCTCTATTCACTTGTTCTGAATTTAAACATTTTCTTGTTTACAATTTACATGCAAAAATTTCTTATTTTCTAACATCAGTGGCTCACAGCTCAGAGAGGTTGTGCCTGCGTGGCACCACATGCCATTTTTATCTGTAAATGATTTGACACGTGACAGCCACGTACCATTTTGTAACACACGTATTATGATATTACCTACATGTTGGAAATACCTCTCCATTTTCGTTTTCTTCTTTTGGTGTGGGCTTATATGTGTTTTTTTCTTCCACTTTTGAGTAGGTGGAGATTCGAATTTGAGATTTTCTCTTCTTTCGGTTTTATGTTCTTGACTTATAAGAATTTATGCTAGATTAATAGCTAGTTGATCGCTCAAAATTCTCCAACTCATTTTAATTTATTTTTAAATTGTTTCTATTTTTAAATACTAAAGTGCATATACTAAGCAAATTATCAAGATAGATTGCAATTTGGGAGTTTCACTAAAACACCCAAAATGGGGGTTGAAATTATAAAAAAACCCAACACCCAAAACACTTTATAAACACACCCAAAACCCATCATTACACACACTCAAAACCCATTTATAAACACACCCAAAAAATATACAATTGTTGATTTTGAGGTTGATTTTGGGTGTGTTTCTATGTTTAAATAGTGTTTGGGTTTTTTTTATAAATACATGTCTAGGATTAGGTTTATTTATAAATTTGTATTGCAATTTTCACATACTCACAAACAAAAACCACTTGTAACCTTCACTGCAAAAAATGTCCCAATAAAATTCAATTTCTATTTGACCATTGAATAAAGTACCACAAAAATAAATTCTAGATGCTAAATTTACAATTACGTGAAAACAAAGAAATCCCTTATGTGGCATTGGCAAGCTCAAAATTACTGAATATGGATAATAGAGAATTAATGCAATGTTATTTAGCATTTTTGATTTTTTTTCTTCATTGATTTAGTGCTGATTGAATATTTTATTTATATAAAGCGATATTGGAGGAAGTGGAAATCAAACATAAGATTTCAGATGCAAAGATAAATGACCGTAAGTTCTTAACCATTTGAACTATAAACTCCTTGCATGCTAATCGAACGTTAGATGTGACACAAAACCAACATGCTACAAGAGGACCCTGAATATTATCGATTTCATTATTTAAAAAATAAATAAATAAATAAATACAACAATAAAAAATGAAAGGAGACAAAAAAAATCCGTGCCAAGTTTATTTAGCCTACCTGGCATGAAATGGATTGCCTAGTCATCATTCTCCTTTGCTTTCCATGCAAACGTCACTGGGAAGGGATGGCCCTGCTTCTCTGCTGCTGTCACCATCACCATCCAACGTCTCAAAAACGACAACGTTCTATCCAGAGGCATATTCTCCGTATCATTACTAAACGATGTCAGCCTCTGCCGTTTGAAGCTTAGCTGGACGCCACTGTTTGGCTTGAGGAATTCTCTGAATGCGCCAGCTGGCACGGCACTCTCACCTGCACATGGCCAGCTACTTCTGTCGATAGCCACCCGAGATTACTAAAATACCCCCAGTCTCATTGCTCATCCTCTATAATGCCCCTGCCACTCTCATTCAACGTTTTCGCTTTTAACTCTCTTTTTTTCTCTCGGGCTTATCGAAGAAGGAAAGACAGCGGAACAGGTGGACCGGGGGGGTTTCGAGGCATATCCGTAAATAATGGGAAATCCGAGGGGTAGAAATGTGAAACAAGCTAGACCGTGGAGGGTGTTTTGGTAATTTGATTTCGAGCAGTCATTAAATTAAATATTGTGTTTTTATTCTGGCTTGCGTAGGAAAGTAAAAAATCTGGAGAGTACAGGGAATCTAGGATGTGAGGAGAAGTAGCTCGTCAAAAACAACATTAATGCTAAGGTGTAAATACTCACACCATTTCACTTCACGAATTCATGGTCGTTGTCATTGTCAATACTACTGACAAGGCTTTCAGCTCAACGTGGTTAGGGACCATTGAGCCTTCTGTTTTGTTTGGTTTTGTGTATCTTTTCTCTTTTATTATGAAAAATCTTTTATACACGCTACTAAGATGCTACGAAGGTTTGAATTTGACACAACTGATTTGCAAGTTAATGCCATTTTCCATCGAGCTTGTATAGGCATATTTTTCTTCTTTTTGTTAAAAGAAATGTGCGGAATTCGAACATTATATAAAAGCTATAATTAATATATGTAACATGTCAAATATGAATAAAAGCATCACGCGTATCAATTAATTTGAAATACATGCTCAAATAAGAATTTTAATTAATTGCTCGTATTAACTGAGAATATCACATATAAGATTTTTTAAAAAAAAATACAAGAGATATTAGCATAGGTAAATGCTCTTAATCACTTGAGTTACAAATTCTTTAGAAAGGTCATGTATAAGATAAATAAGTTATTATTAGAAAATGTAAGTGTTCGTATCAATCCCTCTCAATGCAATAAAAAGAAAATGAAAGTCACATATAAGGTTAGTACGGAAGCGAAGCAGTCTAACATCATCGATGTAATTTGTGCACCTTCTCTACAATCAATCCTAAATATTCATCTTTTGACTATTTCACACATGTTCACGAGTACTCATTTGACTATTCACACATGTTATATACTCATTTTAGAATAGAAGAATTTGAAGTTGTGTTTACTAACTTTGAAAAGAGAAGTACTAGAAATACAAACCATCGAGAGCATTCCCACCGTGAGTTTTTATTTAATATACAAGATGAATTCATATATACAAGCTGGCACTTTATTTTCCCATGTTGTCACCTTTCATGCCTTAAGCAAAATCTACATGATTAAAAATAGGTCATAATGAGGTTTAAACCAATGTGAAGTCAAAATCAATTTGTTGACAAGAGGAGAGGAAAGGAAGGCCATGAAAAACAGAGAGAGAGAGAGAGAGAGAGAGAGAGAGAGAGAGAGAGAGCCCAAATGCCAAAGCTTAGGTGTCACCATTGAAGAGAGTGGGGAGTGTGTGTGTGTGTTGCTCACAGCCTCTAAAGGGAGAGTAGGCCTCCATGGCACTAATTTCTGCAAGAAAAAAACAACAAATAAAGCGATTTATGGAGGAAGATTGGAGAGTACCCAAAGAAGAGAGAAGAGAAGAGAGAGATAGATATTGGATTTTTATTAGAGATTTTAGATTTTAGACTGGGAAAGAAAATTGATGATAAAAATACAAACAAGAGGAGAAGAGAGAAACCTGTCTCGTGAAGCAGCAGGTGAAAGAGAGAAAGGGAAGAAAAAACAATAATAAAAAAGTTCTCTCCTTTCTTTCTTTCTTTCTTTCTCTCTCCTCTCTCTCTCTTCTCTCTCTTCTCTCTAAGGACTTCACATTCATTCTTTGCTTCCTTCTTTTATATCACGAGATCCCCATCTCGGCTTCTTTTTCCCCTCTCTCTCTCTGTATCTCTTGATGTCTTCATCAAAGCCTCTTCATTTTCTGCTGCTTCTGGGTTTTTGTGTGTCTGTGTCTGTGTCTGCTTGCCGCCATTGTTGTTCTTCTTGGAGTAGCTTCACTCGCATACATTGCTGAGGGTGAGGACCCCAGAAAGGACAAAAAAATACCGAAATTTACAGAGGGGGAGAGATAGAAAAAATTTAAAAGCTTTGCTTTTGTTTTTGGAAATGTCGCATTCTGGGAAGCCCATTTCGGAGCTAGGCCTCGACTCGCTCAACGATCGCTTCCGTGACTCGCTGAGTTGCGAAGCCAACAAGCCTGATTTTCGAGAACTCGATCTGGGTTCACCCGTTTCCCCTCTTCGGACCCGTCAAAGCGGCGGTCTCGCCACTGCAACAAGTAGTAGCTCCAGCTCGTCCGGATCGTTCTCAGGCCGAAATGGGCCCAACCCAGCTGCCAAAAGGTCCGATTCAGCCCCAAACAACCACTCCGGAGAGCTGTCAGGCTCTAGTGAGAGCAGTCCCACCGCCGCCGAAAGCGTCCGATCCGCCGGAAACACCCGAAATTTCAAACCGGGTCATACAAGATCCGATTCCGGCTCCACCCATCCCTTAATATACTCGGGTCAGAGCTCTGTGAACTCTCCGCCACTCAATGTTTTGCCCACTGGGAACATATGCCCGTCTGGAAAAATCTTAAAAACGGGTATGGTCCCAAACCGGAGCTCCAGAAGCGATGTTTTGGGTTCGGGTATGGGCAATTACGGTCACGGGAGCATAATGCGGGGCGGCCCGGCGGCGAAAGGTGGCGGCATAGAGGCGGTGAATACTGTGACTTCGAGGGTAACTGGCGGCGGAGACTTGTTGAAGAGAACAATGGTGAGTGCGGATCCAGAGGAGGTGAAGAGAGCTGGGAATGAGCAGTACCGAAGAGGCCATTTTGCGGAGGCTTTGAGCTTGTACGATCGGGCAATCGCATTGTCTCCGGCCAATCCAGCCTACCGGAGCAACCGGGCGGCGGCATTGACCGGTCTCGGGCGGCTGGTGGAGGCCGTGAGGGAATGTGAAGAGGCAGTAAGGTTGGATCCCAATTATGGCAGGGCTCACCAGCGTTTGGGGTCTTTGTTTCTTAGGTGAGTTCTTGGGATGCAAAACACTAAAGCTCAGTTCATTTTTGAAGCTGATATGTTGGTGAATTAGTTGGTGATGGGTTAGTGTCAGTCTTGTTAATTAGCTGGTCAACATTGTACAGAATGTCTCTGCTTGTTTGGTCCTTGGATCTAGTTCATTCTGCTGTGGTTTGCCCTTTTGATTTGAATTGTTGATTTGTTCTCCTGTATTTTTCTTGCTTGCTTTAGATTTCTACATTAGTTAATATGTGTCTATAATTTCCATGTGTCATTCTAGTTTCCTCGATGAACATATATATGCTTCCTTGGGTAGCAATTAGTTGAATTTGACTAGTGGAATGGACAGATTCAGTTGTGTTGCAATTTTTTGTATTGCTTGATATACCAGCTTACTGGAATCTTCTTTAGAGGTTTTCAGTGGAGCTCCAAATTTTTGCTGGTTCGTTTAGATTTAAATTCTACAGATCCAGTGTTTTGATGGTTTATATAATTGTAGGTGGATTGAATTTCAATGTATTTCTCCAGCTTAATGCAGCAGGGAATTTACTTGACAGAATCCCATGTTATGGCAGGTTAGGACAAGTTGAAAATGCCAGGAGGCACCTTTGTTTTCCAGGGTTGAAGCCAGATCCGGCTGAGTTACAGAAATTGCAGGCAGTAGAGAAGCATCTCAAAAAATGTACAGATTCCCGTCGTGTAGGAGATTGGAAAAGTGTATTGAGGGAATGTGATGCTACTATTGCTTCTGGAGCTGACTTTTCTCCTCAGGTAAATATTAATCTCTAAGTTTCTATAAGTTTTGTCTACCAGGATTGGATGATTTGTTGCAATGGAAAGTGTAGCGAAATGCTGAACTTGTTCAAATTGAATTTACAGCTCTGTATGTGTAGAGCGGAAGCACTTTTGAAGCTCCACCAAATTGATGATGCTGAATTAGTCTTATCAAACACACCCAAATTAGAGACCAACCCCTCACAATCTAAGTTCTTTGGGATGCTTTCTGAAGCTTACAGTTACTTTGTCATGGCCCAAATTGAGATGGCATTTGGAAGGTGAGTTCAAAGATTCTAGGCTTCATCAGAAATAAGATGGTTAAGTTTTTGTGGAGAGTGAGGATAGATGATGGATGTTGCAGGTTTGAGAATGCAGTTACTGCTGCTGAGAAAGCTGGGCTGATTGATCCTCGGAACATTGAAGCTGCAGTGCTGCTTAATAATGTGCGTATGGTTGTGAGAGCCCGTGCCCGAGGCAATGATCTCTTCAAGTCCGAAAGGTTCACTGAAGCTTGCTCAGCATACGGAGATGGTCTGAGGCTTGATCCTTCAAACTCTGTTCTATTTTGCAACAGAGCAGCTTGTTGGTTTAAACTTGGGATGTGGGAGCGATCCATTGAAGACTGCAACCAGGCCCTATGTATTAAACCCAATTACACAAAAGCCCTACTTAGAAGGGCTGCCTCAAACAGCAAGGTAAAATGCATTTCTAAACCTCAATCATTTTATTTTCCTTCTTCTTTATGTATTTTTCCTTTTGTAAAAAATGTGCAATTTAGTTTGTTAGATTTTTGTGTATTACAGCTAGAAAGATGGGTAGATGCTGTTAGAGATTATGAGGTCTTGAGGAAGGAGCTTCCTGACGACAATGAAGTTGCTGAATCTTTGTTTCATGCTCAAGTTGCATTAAAAAAATCCCGCGGGGAAGAAGTTTATAATATGAAGTTTGGCGGTGAAGTAGAAGAAATATTAGGTCTTGAGCAGTTCAGAGCTGCAATGGCTTTACCAGGTAGGCCTCCCCATCTACAGGTCTCTCACCTTCTTATTTTTACACTACATCATTGCACAAGTGCCTAAAAGTCATATTTACAGGTGTCTCCGTGGTCCATTTTAAAGCAGCCTCTGATTTCCAATGCAAGCAAATATCTCCTTTTCTGGACACACTTTGTGGCCGGTACCCATCCATAAATTTCCTCAAGGTAAATTACTGACTGATATAATGCATCGTATTCTAGTTTGACTACGCTTTGCATGCTCTGGTACTTGGTACGTAAGTATATTTAAGAGAAGGAAATTTATGTAATTATGGTGATGCATCATAGGTTGACATTGAAGAAAACCAAGCAGTTGCAAACACTGAAAATGTGAGGATTGTACCAACATTCAAGATTTACAAAAATGGTAGCCGAGTGAAGGAAATGGTGCGCCCCAGCCGTGAAATGTTGGAACACTCGGTCAGGCATTATAGCTTCTAGAATCAGGACTGTACTGTAATTCTGCTGCTCTGCCGTAGTTTTGAGTTTTTCTTGTTGCTGCCCGGCCCCCAGTTTGTTAGGAACTCTCCTACAGCCCTTCCTTTCTGCCTCCCACCATATAAGCTTTACAAGATACCTGTCACATAATCAGAATCACCAAATAATCTCGTTAGCGACCAATGCCAGTGGATCCCAGAGAGGTAGCTTAGTTCCTTCTTCAGTTTTTATTTATTCATTCATTCCTCATTGCTCTCTGGTTCCACTTTCTTCCTCCTTTCTCCTTTTCTCCTTTTTTCCTTTTTACCATATCTTTGAACTTTTTTCATTTTCATTCTCATGTAGGCCGGCCTGGTTCCTGTATCCCCACTTCCAAAAAAAAAATGATAACTGTGTACAATTGTTTAAATTGGCCTTTTAGTTTTATTTGAGAGGGAGAGAGAGAGAGAGTCTGTGTCTCAGTGAGAGAGGGAGAGGGAGAGAGAGAGAGAGAGAGAGAGAGAGAGCTGGCCGGCTGGCTGGCTGGCTGTAGCAGAGGATCTGTACATGTATATATGTGATATATACAAAACAATGGAAGTCATGAGGGAGATTGGATGTCCGGTGGGTACTTACTGGGTTAGTGAAGGAAGGATGAATATGTTATTATTGTTGTTTCTTTTCTCAAACCAATTATTCAACAATAAAAATTTCTATTTTTCTGTTCTTGTCATTGCACATATTTTCCATTCTATATCATGTTCCTATCTAACCTTGAATTTGCACCTCCAATTATGTATGGCCTTGAGTTAATGTACTCTTTTCCTTTTGCACAAGTGTGTTTTGTTAGTGAGATTAAACTTGTGTTGAATAGTTTTAAGCAAAACTCAGAATTCTAAGGAGTATCAAAATCTAAGCCTTAATGCTATAACCCTTCAGTAGCTGGAGAAAAACTTGTATATAACACTGTTTTGCTATCCTCATCCAATTTCGCTTGAATGATGATAGCAAAATAGTGATATTCCTGTGACATGTAAGTTCTTCTCCAGTAGCTGGCAATGTAAATGGTGACTGGTGAGGGTGAGATTTGTGATGGCTACAGATTGCAGGCTGACAGAGCAGTAACCATCTTTTGATTGTCGGTGTGGACTGATTTGGTAGTTCAGTTTTTTGGGTTTCCATAATGGGAATTGTCGACTTGTTGACAGGGGTAAAGTAAGTGAGTTTTTAATGAAGCTTCAAGGTTGGTTTTCTTATTAAGTGGGTGGATGGACTTGGTAGTTGAAACTATTCAATTCCCTTTCTTCTCAAGTACATGTCCTTTCGTGGAGAAATATTTTGCATACATCAATAATGCCTCTGTTTTTACATCATGATTTATATAATATATTTTATATAAGATATTGTAAAAGAAATGTATGTTGTTTGCAAGAAGTTTTATTTTTATTTCCTCCTCAGGGCCACTATTGCTTTTGTTTGCTTCTGCTTTTGGCAACCACTAATTGCTTGTTGAGTTGCTAATTATTATAATAATTAGCTAATTATATGATTGTGTTTGACATAGAGGACATAATGTGGGGGCAAAGAGCCGCAAATTACTCAATACACCCTTATGCATAGCTAACTAAAACATCTATAATTCAAGATTGCGCCCAAGGTCCTATATTCAAATACCTCTTTCTCCAATGTCGCTTATGTCTAAAAAACACTAAAACCTCTCTAATTATAAAGTCCAAAAAGCGCAATCGGTGGGTGCTAATATCAAATGTCTGGGTCGGTCGGGCGCCTTGTGCTGACAATGACCACCCAAGAAATAGACCTTTTCTTTATATTTTTTTTCTTTCTCAAGTGTCTTCTTCTTCTGCTTGCTTGCTCCGAGTTGTGGTTGTTGATGGACCATGTCTAGTCTACGTTCAACATAACTTTGATTGGGTACGTGACAAATTAGGGCTTCCCCTTTATTATTAACAACAAAACCGGCCTATCATTAAAGAATAAAAGGAGAGAGATTGGTGGTGGTTGAGGGTCCTTATCTTATCGACCTTATATTTCAAAGGGACTACTATGATTTTAGCATTTCAGGTAACTAAAAGCACTTTCATGATCCTTTGTTCACGAGCATTTTCAGAATGTCTTGTTTGATTACGAAAAGTGAGTCTAACTGCTTTTTCAAGAAGCACTTTAAGCCGTTTTAATGAAATTTTCTTTTAACAAAAAATTCATAATTAAAAGAATATAATGTTATGTTTTTATTTATGAAAAAAAAACAGTGCTATGAAGACACGGATATATGTGGTAGGATAGGAGTAGGACCAATAATCAAACTATTGAGTCATGTTTTGGTAGTGATTTGTAATTTGTTCTCTAAAATTTATTAATAAATATAAATGCAATGGTCACATGTCTGAATCGCCCGGGTCGGTGCGTCGCAGCGGTCAAACGGCCGGCGGATGACTCTGCTCACGTGGTCAGACTTTAATAAAAATAAAAATACTATAAATAAAGAGAAAACTAATTCACCCAAAAAAAAACACAAAAACAAAGTCGCGCGCGTGGGGTTGAGCAGAAAGAGAAAGAGGACAGTGGAGGGTACTTGACTTTGGGGGTACCCTACGTATGTGTGACGTGTCCCCACCCTACATCTGTAGGGTAGTAAAAGCCTCGCAAGTAACGTTCTTACAATTTGTACGATCCATCTAAAGTAAATGAACAGAAGAAACAAAAAAAGAAACAGTGAAACTCAAACAGTTAATTCAGAGTTCTTTAAGATTTCTTGTGATCTAATCAGATTCTCAGAGCCATGTCGTTTTGTGGCGTTTTCAAGTTTGGGAAGATTAGGTCCACCATTGTCTCTTATCGGCACTGGACATTAATTAATTAATGCGGTTTTCCCTTTGTATTTTCTTGCATGGGTTACTTCTTTTAATATACAATTTTTTTTTAAAAGGGTGTCACTCATGCCGCCTCATCACATACTTTTCAATCTTTCATTAAATATTAGTTGTATTTTCCATGGCCGAAACCCAAAAGCGAAAAAGCCCACACAAAGATTAGTGGTAGCCTTGACTTAATCATGCTTAAGTGACCGTTTAGCATTGCTTATTTCGAGTGATAAGTGATTTTTAAAAAATTTGAAAAACCTAGCCTTTTTGGTAAACTATGAAAAAATTACTTAATGTCAAAAATTGTTGTGAAAAAAAACTATAAGAGAAAACAGCTAATGAGATGCTTTCATTTTCTTATTATGCAAGAATCAGTTTCAAAGAAACACTAGGTTTAATAATTATATGGCAATTAAATTCAAATTATGCAGAAATCAGTACCAACAATACTTTTAACAAAAAGTTTACTAATCATTTAAAAAACCCTTCGGTTTCCATGTGGTTTATCCCGTATACAAAAGTAAATACTCTTAATCATTTAAACTACAAGCCGCTTGCCTACTTGAAAGTGTTTAGAAGTAGTGGCCTCATTAACTTCAGACCAGTGCCTAGGCTTACTAGTACGTGATGTTTTAAGGCAAAGGAGGAAGAACAAAATGCTCTCGGTTAAAAATGCCGAAGTATTTGCAAAGACGAGGCAAGGAACACCCTGCAGATTCTGAGAAAGACACCAGGAAACGAGAAAGAAAATTGGTAAAGAATTATTCACACTATCGATTACCAGAAATCCATATTTTGTGTGCCTATAATAATCCCCAGTCGACACTTGGGACCGAAGATAAATGTATCTTCACACAAGCTTCCAAGAGATGAAACAATTATCAGGCAATAAATGGTAGCTTGAGAACATTAAACTCCAATATTTCAAACATCAATTCTTCCAATTCTTTCATCTAAAATGACAGTGAATACCATACATTGCAACAATGTTATTTGAGGGAATGATAAACTTGCACCATGCCATCACACACCACTTGCATATAAACGGGTCCATTCCTTTGCTGTGGGAATAAGGAAGAACAAATTAGCTTTAGCATTGTTAATTGATATTACAGTTCTAGCTAAGCAAGGGAAAAACCAATAAAAAGGAAAACTATCAATATTACCTGTTTCAACCGCTTCAGCCTCATTCGATTTCCAATGTTTGGCGATGTTCTCAGAGAGCGGATCGTCGGGGTTTGGAGCACTCAAAAGTGCCTGAATACTAGCAGAAAATGATTGCAACATTGCCGATAATTCAGTTTCAATTTTTACTTAAAAAATATATAACCATTCATCACATTAAAACATTTTCCCACCAGTGACTATAAGAATAAAGCAGCAGAAATGGAATAGCAGCTGCATGAACTCTACATTATACCAGTATGAATTATATCAAAATTTGTTTTGAATTGAACAAACAGTTTGTCTTGATATTTTAATCTGTGACCCGCACAAGTGTTTCTTATGTTTTGATCTCAGAACAGGTAATAGATTCACTACAAAGGCAATATGAAATAATGATACCTCAAAAGTACAGTTCGTATCTGGAGAGCAGGACTCCATTTGTCTTTCAAAATGTCAAGGCATATCCTTCCCAGCTGCATTAAGAAAACCATTCATAAAAAGGCAAGAAACTACTACTTGCTAAACCTTTGAAAGTAAAAGGAAGAAAATAACCAGAAGGCACAGCCTACCTTGTCAATGTTAGGATGATAAATTTTGGTGAGAAATCGAACCTGATACAAGGGAAAAAACAAATAATTACTTGATACACACAAGATAAGGAATATAAGGATGCTGAGAAGCATGCTAAGGCAGAAGGTGGTGTGGTGCTGGACACTGCAAAACTGGAACGACATCCTAGCACATTTGTAAAATTACTACATAATGACAACACAGTTTCCTTATAAGTCTTTAACAGTTTCCAGTACCATGTTGGTATCCTATGAAAGGATAGCGAACTATTCAATCCCAGACTGCCACAATTGATAACAGTTGCTAACAAAGATGAATATATGCAGATTGGTCTTACATTAGTTCTACCTCAAAGAAAAACCATTAAAGCACAACTATTAACCTATGAAATTTTCATTCATAATCAAAATTGGCAATGTATTCAGAAAAAATTGGAAACATTCCAGTCCATAAATTATTAGCGATCAGAATCAGTGTCAAAATGTGTTATGTAAATGATAATATTTACCAAATTGCATCTCCTTTCCCTTCTAGCTACATGACAGGCCAAAAAACTTAAGCTATTTAACTTCTTTAGTTTGGGCGAGTTTCAGAACTGCCTTCTAAGATCCTAAAGATCCAATGCACATGCATTAACTACACACATACCAAATACTAGTTTCTCCTTGGTAAATTACAACATCAACATTAACAGACTACCCAGGTTCAATCCAGTTCTCAAAACACACCGCCACTTTTGTAGGCATACACCACATGCGACTAACAAAGCATGGCATCCCATCAAATTGCACGGCAAGTAAAAAATACAAAGGGAACAAAACTAAGTTGAAATTTAATATAAACAAGGAACGAATTTACTGTGAAGATAAAACCCATTTATTAAATAACAGTGAAACTCCACACATCTGAAGCAAGAATTAAAAGTACTCCTATCCATCGAAATGTTTTATTTCATACTCTCCCCCAATATTTTACCCTTTGTGTTTGTTTCATACTGAAAAGACTTCAAATCAAAGTACCTTTGGAGCAGCCATTGGATATTCTTCTGGCAAAAATAGTTCCAACTTGAAAACTCCTCCTGAACAAATATTTCAAACAAACAAATACACAACGTTAAATTTGCAAATCAATTCTAAACAACAGAAAAGAAAAAACAAGGGAGTAACAAGAAAAAGGAAACCAAGTAAACCCGTAATACATTTCTATAACTGACATCTGATTTTTCATTTACAAAATTATCCGACTAAGAAAAATAAGCTGCCATCATTTGACACAAGCTCAACCACGTAGCAAAGTACATTGTTACTCAACGCAGATGTAAAGAGAAATTTTCTCAAGTATAAGCAGTATACACAGATGTTACTTGGTTATATGAAGAGAGAAAAAAAAAAGTCGGAGTTGTTAGAAAGGGTATCATCATTAATCTAGGACCTGGTTCACTGTCCATGATTTGACACAGTTGCGTCACATGAATGTCATACACCTCTAACAGGCCAACGAACTCACAAAGATAGACAGGTGCTAGAGAAACGGACTACACTTTTCTGACAGTACAAGCAAAAAACAGATTTCTCAAGGTGAGATATAGCTCTCCTCGAGTATAGGGATGATTGCTACAATATCTCCTCAATTAGCCTGCCTTTCTGAGTAGCACGATCTCTCACTAGTCCTCAATTAGCCTGCACTCAGTCTTTCTGAATATTGCAAAAATCACTAACAGGAAAATCAATTTTATTATCTTCAATAGATATCATGTTTTCTCCAATTCTCTACTTATCCCTTGCAAAGTGTTAAGGCTCTCAAGAAAAACTACCAGCTATTCCAATAACCAAAACAAGTGTTCACACTTAGGCAATGTCACTAGACTGACTACTTGCTCCAAAGACATGGTAGAAGCTGCAGTCCTTCATTGATGGTTCGCTTCATATACATACTTCCATTCGAAAATCAAGGGAGAGTTGATCATGCCCTTCAACACAATATTATTCCCCGGGGCTACATTGTCACATTAAAATATTGAAATATGGACCTGATACTCCTTTAGTACACAAGAGTAAGAACAAATCACAAAAATAGACAACCTTCGGTGATCACAAACCACTATAGAGTTAATGGAATGCTCCCACCTCCTCAGTCATTCTCATTAAATCTAACTTTAGCAGACAACGACGTCAATAATTTGTTTCCAGCCAACTTTCTCAGGAGACAATATGAATGAATACAAACAGCCAGTAATCCAGATCACTACATTTCAAGTGAGGTAGGACTATTCATCGCTAAGCACCATAAGTCATCATTCTGATACATGAATTTGTTGATTAAATTAAAAACATTCCCCAAATCAAAGTTACCATCAGGCTTTTACTCCCAAAATAAAGCTCACACTTACAAATGGATGTGCACAAAACAAAAGAACTAATGCTCTTGTTGTCTCAATTATGAATATATCACATGGAAAACAAAATAAACACTTCTGATGTTTTCCCCAAAATTTTCTTGAAAAAAGAAAAAGACTTGCAACAATAATAACCAAACAAGATTGAATTTCTTACATATGCATCTAGTATAAAAATAATGCAGTCCAGTAATTTATACCTTCATAAGGAGATTGTGTTGGGCCAAGGATCATCACATTGAAATATCGCATATTGTCTTCCGATGGTGAAGCGCTAATTCCCGGTGCTGTATAGATAATCACGGTATTAAATAAAAATTAAGCCCCATAAATCCCCATCAAAATAAAACCCAACAGAATTAGCATATATATTTTACATCTAAACCCTAAAAAAAAAAACTATCCTGCTCACATTTCTATTTAGATTGCTTTATAAAACAAACTAACACAAAAATCAAAAGAATTTAAAGCACAACTTCAAATTCAAGCTCAAATAATTAGTGGGAAAGAGTGTAACTTACCAGGCTCACTGAGGAGACGTTGAGTTTCCTGTGGGATAAAAAACACAAAAGTGGTTAAACAATTACACAAAATAAAACCGCAAAACCCTAAGCCACGTTTGGCAGCTGAGAAAGAGAAGACCGAAATGAAAAAGATCACAAATTTGCAAGTACATATTCCAGGCTAAGAACATAAGATGAAATTACAAAAAAAAAATTGAAAGTCCAAAATTTCTTGGTTTGGACACAAGCAGTGCGATCAGAAGGAAATTAGAAGAGGGATCGTGAAGAAGATTGAAGGGTGAACCTTGATGATTCTCCGGGGAAGGTTACTGTTGGCCATTCGAAAGTCGATTGCAGGCTACGCAATGAGGGTTTTTGCGACAGAGAGAGAGAAGGGAGGGGGGAGAGAGAGTGCGTTGGGTTTCTTTCTTTCTCTCACTATGACGAAGAAATAATCTTAATAAGCACTCGGTTTACGAATATTTTACGTGTTTCTTATTTCCCAAAACTTAAAAGCAATGATTTTGACATCTTTATTATTCTCTCTCTCTCTCTCTCTCTCTCTTTTTTTTTTTTTTTTTTTTTTCCTGGGGGAGTGCTTTGGGGAGTTTCAACTTTCATGTATGCCCGCCAGATTGCCAATAACTGATCAGTTTAGTGGCATTTTTCTTTTTCGCTTGTTTTCCATTAAAAAAAAAAAAAAAAAAAAAAAAGCTACATTTCCTTTCCTTAGGTGAGCGGGACTGTTTTAGGTGCACCTTCTCATTTTACCTTCTTTTATTAGCTACATTTCCTTGAATGAGCATGACTGTTCTTATCTTGCAATGTCGTTTAATTATTACTGTCACCTAAAGCATAAAAACTTGTATGAAAAGACTAATCGTATTCTGGAATGTGAAACAGTTATTAGGCGTGGCATATCGTAATTGGTTGGGAATAGTAAGATAATACTATCCTTATTTCATGTAAGTGTTTCTCCACCTAAAGGGCTAGGATGGTCTCACGTCCTTTTTCTTTTTCTTTTTTATGACAAAAAGTTTAGAGGGAAGGGGTTCTCATGCCCTTTCTTCCCTCACTAATTCCTCATTCTTCCCAATTTTCCCTCTTTTCTCCAAGGGGAAATCATGTTTCCGATCCCCTTCCTAGTGCAAGGTCCCTCCTAATGTAGAAGGCCTCTTCTCATTTGGAAGTCAGGCTCTTTGCGTTGGACTATCTTCTAGTTCACCTTTTAAAGATCATGCTTGCGAAAATTCAATAAAATCATAAACGGTTTAGTAATTTAATTGTTATAAAATAAATCGACGGAATCTAGTGTTTTGATTAAACAAATAATTATCGCATTGTTAATAAAATAGAAAACTGTTTCCAATTACTTTTTTTTTTCAAAAATAATTCTTGAAAGATGACCTTGAAAATGAACGGTTTTGATTATCATACAACATTCAAAAAGAAATGAAAAAATAAAAAAAAAAAAAAAAAAAAAAAAAAAAAAAAAAAAAAAAAGTATAGAAGGATTTGATACTTATTTGGTTGATTTTTTTTCAAATAACCCATTTTGACCACCTACCAACTATTGGGACCATAGCGCTTACATAAAATGGTTCAATGAAGGGGGCAATAACAGACGAGATGGACGAGTACATATATCAGAGTCAAAATTGTAACTTTTCTGTATTTCAAAAATGCAATTTAAAGATAAATTCATCTTTCTGGTTTTAATGTTTGGATATTTGAGTCGCATAATACACAAAATGTTATTGAGCAAACTATTTTAGATGTATTAATTCATGCAAAAAATATAGATGCATCAACAACATCCAATCTTTTTTGTTTAAAACTAGTCCATCCTTTTATTGTGATGTTCTTTAAAATAAAATAAAAATAATTTTGTAGAGAGCTATACAATTAAATAGAGGGAGAGTTAATTCCTTCCCACAAATATTTATTTATATATATATATATATATTTATTAAGTAGTTCACATTATGGTGGCAGAGTGTGGTATGTATAATATTTCTATGCTTCCTCGGTCTCCTCGGGGAACAATTCCTTAAGAACTTCCTCACACTCAGTGACACTCGCATTCTGCATGAACCCAAGGGGGTTGGCATATCGAGCCATGGACTTGACACCATTGTTGTGTGTTAGCAAAACCCTAGCTCTCTCGAAGTCAAAGTGATCATTGCAATTGGCCCTAGGGCTGCTCACGGTCCTCACCTCACAGATTTGCTCCTCCATGTCCTCATCAGCGGGAAGGCTGTAGATGCCATTCTTATCGGTCTTGCCTTGGAGTGTGTATACCAAGGTACCATTCTCACGACCTCGGCACTCCAAAGCTACCACAGCACCTGTATCCATGCACATGTCAAACAAAGTGCATAATTTAAGAATGATAATTGATTGAGAAGTGAGCGATTTATAAAATGTAGGCCCATTAAGAATTTAATAACTTCTTCGACCTACCCCAATGTCATTGTATAGGGATTAGTAAAAATAACATATAAAATGGAAATAGGGTTTTAATAACTTCGGACAATTCAACTTCTTCAACATGAGATTCTGTGTTCGATGCGAAATATTGAAAAGCAGATAGGGGTAAAAGCAACCCTTCAAAAAGATCATTTTCCTTTCGTTTTTCATAAACCAAAAAAGAAAATTAAGAGGGTCTAATAGAGAGCCATAGATGGTAAATCTTAGATACTAACAAAAAGATTTGATGAAATGGCAAAATAAGAATGTGGTGATATATGTAACAAGTTAGATATGAAGTTACCTTCGAGGGGTACACTAAGTCTAGTCTCGAACTGGACACGACATGGGTCACAGTACACCCTGCCCTCCACAAAGAGATTGGTTTTGGTTGTGGCATAAGCCAAAGAGCAGAAGCAGGACAGGGCGACAACAAGTGCTACGATACTCAAGTTCTTGGCCATTTCTATATCTCTCCTCTTTGGTGTTCTTTCTGTATTTGAGTTCTAATTATATTCCCCCTTTGTGTTAAATTTCTTGGAGGCAATCGAAGTCTTTTATAGGTGAAACAAATGGTGTTTGGTTAAGATTGTGTGGTAATGGTCGGGATGTTCTATTTTAGGGTTTGTGGAGGGAGTCAATTTTAGTTATCATTTTCCGCACTTTCTTCCCCTTCAACTAATATGACAACAAGTACAAAAGTTTGGAACTACTTTTTTGAAGTCTCATGGTTGAAAAACTAGTTTGAGAAGTTTGGTTTTTCAAAGGTGTAGATTTGATGACAAGCCGTGTAAGGAAAATACTCATTTTATAAATAGTTTTGCTCAAATACTTTTTTCTTTTATTGAAAAAAAGAGGAATCGAACTTGAAACTTCTCCAATATTAAGAACTCGAAATATATTTTTTATATGAGATCATGTAAGGGTCTCTTATTAAGTTTTGTACAAGACCCCCAAAATCTTAGAGCCGATCTTTTAAATGATTAAACAACTTCTTATTTAGTTTTTTTTAGCGGAGATATATCTTACATAGATATTTATACGAACATTTTCACTTAAAAATTCTCCTATAGAATACGTCACTGTGACATAAACTTTACATTGATAATATTGTTGAGATCGTATAATTATATTTTAGACCAAGAACAATATATAGATAATGGAAATGTAGGTGCTTTATTCCATATTTTTCTTCTGCTATTTCACATCCATATATAATTTCTAGTTAGTCAACGTGTTTTCTGCCCCCAAAAAAAAACGTGTTTTTCCGATTTTGATTTCCTGGTCCTTTTTTTTTGGAAAGATTGATTTCCTGGTCTGAAAAAAATTTAAAATAAATTTAATTTAAAAATAACAAAAAGTGTCAATTAGGTAAAGCAGCCAATGAAGAACTTGGCGGCAACTCTTCACAAATGGCTTCCTGCTCTACCTTCAACCTTTCACCAAGTTCAAAACCCACAAAACCCACAAAACCCTTACCCCATTATTTCCTAAAACCACTGATTCACGAACCTGAAACCGAGACCCGAACCAGAATCCAAACCCCTTACCCAAAGCTCATAATCACTGGTCCTTCCAAGCTCTCCGGCCATGTACCCATCAGCGGCTCCAAGAACTCAGCTTTACCCATTCTTGCAGCGACCCTTTGCTGCTCAGGCACTTCAAAGATTCACAATGTGCCCAATTTGTTCGATACCCGCACAATGGCTTCGGTTTTAGCTTCTCTTGGAGCCAAAGTTGAAGTCTTTAATAATGAAATGTTGGTTAACACTGATGGGGTTGACTCAGTTGAGCCTAATTCGGATGAAATTTGTAAGATAAGAGGTGGGTTTTTCGTCATTGGCCCTTTGGTAGCCCGATTCAGCGAGGCTGTGGTTGCATTGCCCGGTGGCTGCAATATCGGGACTCGACCAGTGGACCTGTACATTAGAGGTCTTCAAGCTCTTGGTGCTGTTGTAGAGTTGAGGTAAGTTTCTCACTGTTTTCTTTAGCCAACATCTGAAATGTATAATGCTTGATGTAACTGCAAATTTCATAGAATGGTTCCCAAAATCTTGATTAGACTTGCATGAGAGTAAGCATATTATGCTTTGCAGTGTAGCGTAGGAGAGGTTGTATGGTCACTTTATGATAAATGCGTATACTTGAATTGTAATAATAAGAAGGCAGTCTTGCGAAACTTTTGTTACGACTAAGCATGACACTAGAGGTACAATTTCCTTTACAAATTCTAGCGTGCCAAATGAGGAATGAAGGTGTGATAGTTCACAGATTGAGTCATTGCTAATCTCAGCTATTGTGGTGGTTGGCATGTTGCTGATTGTCTTATTCAATATGACTTGCTTATTTTCTTAATTAGTGACACTTGACACGGATGATTGGTCTATTGGAAAGTGTATCCAAATTCTTTGTTATATACATGGTCTAGTGAGGAGTTGATCCAGTAAAATTTATGCAACATACAGGGATGGGAAAGTTCAGGCATATGCTGCAAATGGAAGAGGATTAGTTGGAGGAAGTTTCCAACTTGATTACGCAAGTGTTGGGGCAACAGAAACTCTTATGATGGCTGCATGTATGGCTGATGGAACGACTGTACTATCCAATGTTGCCAGAGTATGATAAGATGAATCTCACTGAACATTTTAGCTTCTAACATTCATTGAATGGAAGTGTGTTAACTGTTATCATTTGTCGTCTAATGGATTAGATTAAAATAATGAAGTGACTTCTTTCCCCAACGTTTCACCATAGGAACCAGAGGTGGTGGATCTTGCTCGGTTTCTTAATGACAGTGGGGCCTGTGTGGAAGGAGCAGGAAGTAACCAGCTTGTTATCAAAGGGAAACCCCTGTTGCATGGTTCTGAATGTGTTATTGCTGCTGATCGTATTGAAGCAGGCACATTTATGCTTGCTGCAGCTATCACTCGCTCATGCATCTCAATATCACCTGTCATACCTAGCCAAATGTCCTGTTTGATACAAAAACTCTCGGCTGCTGGTTGCAAAATCAGGCAATACTCTCATGATACCTTGGAAGTATGTGAAAATTCTTAACATTATTTTGTACCCATTTTGTTTGTATCTTACAGAACTTTATAGTTGACAAATACTTCAGGTTTCAGCAGTTTCTAGATATGGGGGTGAAAATTTGCAAAGCTTTGAGGTTAAGACAGGCCCATATCCTGGGTTTCCTACAGATCTTCAACCGCAAATAATGGCTCTGCTGACCACGTGCAATGGTTTAAGTCCTGTAGAGGAATCCGTATTTGACAAACGCATGGGTCATGGTATGTGGTATCTGCAGATTTATATGTGTATGCATTTCTGCATATTTTTTGCTCACGGATCACTTCTGATCAATGGACTGTATAAGTGCAACACCTTGTAGATCTATGCATTATGTTTGTATGTATGTGTTTGCTCATACATACACATCATTCTTTTTGTTTCAATGTTTGGAAGGCCGATATATTGCTTACAATTGGTTGCATTGAGATATTCACATACATGTTCTCTGCTTTCTACCAGTAAGTGAACTGCTAAAGCTTGGAGCAAAAATTCAGGTCTGTGCAAGCACTGCTCTGGTCTTTGGGAAAGATAATGGAAGGCACGTAGATTTTCCTTTTATAAAGTTTTATGTTTTTCTTGTTCCCTAATTGGCATTACCTCGAATGTGCTGACTCATTTCCATTCTCCTGTCAGTGTCTTGTCTGGTTCTTCCCTTGTTGCAAATGACATTAGGGGTGGGATGTCACTGGTGTTAGCTGGATTGGCTGCAGAAGGAACTACGGATATCAGTGGCGTTGCTCATATTGACCGTGGTTATGAGAACTTAGATATGAAACTTCGTTCACTGGGAGCTGATGTCAAAAGATTAATGCCTCTGGCTTCCTAATTGGAAAAGTAAGAACCTTGTTCCCCATTATAATTCTTTGCTCTTTCTAGTGCCCATTGTGATAAGTACAAAGAATTTGTGCCAAATTACTGTAGTATATTGCCGAGGGGGTGTACTTTAAAAAAAGGCTTAGAATGTGTTATCAGACAGGGCTACATGCACATCAGATTGTAGGCGATTCTAGCAAGGTTATATAAGTATTATAAGTTCTTAGAAGGATAATGGTCATGACTTATGCTACGTATTTCAGTTATTCTATTAATTTATAACTCAAGTAATCTGCATTTTTATCCATGCTAGTCATGCGTGCTCTAAATGTAAAGTGTAAACTGACCTGAGTTTTATTCTTGTTCCTGCATGGTTCATCCTTCAATTCCTGATTTTGTAGCTTGATTGATCAATATCTTCGAAGATGATTAAGATTGGTTATGCATGGAAAACAAGAAGTTACCCAAATGGGATTTGGAATTAATTGCTCAAAAACTCAAACTTGTAGATGTCATAGTTAATGTGATTAGTCATGGCTGCAATCGAGCTTGCCTGTGCCAGGAAGGCCATCTAAAGTATCCACGTTTCCAAGCCTTTTTCAACCTCCTGTAGAATTCATTCCCTTTATAAAATTGTTAAAAATCCTGCCTTCTTAAGCTCCATATCCGTTGCAAAGAGCTTGAAGCACATTGGGTAATCAAGCTTGATCACCCATTAAAATTCGTTTCAAAATTGTGTGGTGTTTTTTTTGGGGTGGAGGAGCGGAAGAAGCAGTTAGAGGGCCACTAACTAAGACATCACCAGGGAGTGGAGGTCGCCCGCTCCACTGGTTTTGTGTTATCCCATATGATTTCAAGAGGTCTATCCACGAAATCCTCAACACAAGAGCAGACCGGAGAAGTCACCATAATATGACCTACTACAACAGTAATGTCGTCCTTCTTGCCTCCTGGATGATTCTTTCCAGCCTCCTGAGCCGCTTTTGAATAAGGACTAAATCTGTCCTTGTCCAGAGACCTAAGCCAAGCCAAATCTGCCAAAAGACAAGCCAACGCCTGCGGCTTCATCACACGACTTTCTCTCATGTTTCCCAGAACAACTTGCTCTATCTCATTCGGGTACATGTTGTCCCACAATCCATCAGTCCCAAGCACTACAATATCCCCTGGAAATACTCTAATTTCGATCTCTGTTGCGCTACGAGGATTATCACTGCCTCTGCTGTTGCCCAGTTGATACGGACAGTTAAAACTACGCTGTTCACGAGGAGACATGTACAAGAGTTTGTAGTTTCTAAACACCATCAAACCACTATCCCCAACGTTGACAAAGTGCAAAACTCCTGTTTCTCTAAGTGTGACAATGCAAGCGGTTGAGGACCCTTCACACTTGGTGTCTGCATAAGCTTCGTTCAAAACCCTTCTTGGGTCAACAATGGTTTGATTTTGGACCGACATGATCGAGTTGCACATGAGTTCTCTTGCGTACTGGCCAGCATCTACACCATGCTTTGCCCAACCACCCACGCCATCTGCCACACCAATAGTCTGCTCTTGTGCACATATGAAGTGGGCGTCATCGCCTTCTGGCTTCAGTTTGTCTTCTTTGGGCCAATAGTAGGACCCACAAATCATCCTCATGCTCGTTCTCTTAAGATTTCAGAGCGACGGAGCAACGGCTAATTTTGTTCTTAACCTAGTCACCACCTACAAAACAAAACAAAACAGAACTTGGAGGGTTGAAAAAATATTACATGTGGTGTGGCGTTTATGGTGGAGTGATAGTTCCTTTTGGGTTGGAAATTATATAGGCCTAGGTTTTTTTTTATACCTATTTCGGATCGGAATTCCAATCCTGGTGGGCTCGTTCCTTGTATCGGATTTGGTTTCCTTTTGTTTTAGGGGTATCTTGGTCTTTTCGTCCTCGCAATGCCACTTTGCAGGGAGATTGTGATCAAAGCAAATCCTAAAGCCATTCCTTGTGAGAGATTCCTGCCTTAAAAGCACCAAAAAAACAAAAAAACAAAAAATAATAAAAAAAAGTTTTCAGAGAGTTTCCTATTCCAAGGGAGACCAAATAAATAAATAAATCCTAAATTTGATTCTTTCTTGGTTCAGTTCTAATTGAAACAAGAAAGAAAAATAAAGCTTTTTTGTTTTTTTTTTTTTTTTTTTTGGGGGGTTTGATTAAATCACATACTACTGATGTCAAAAGATTAATTATACATATGGCTTCCTAATTGGAAAAGTAAGAATTTTTTTTTAATGAAGAAAAATTTAGGGAAAGAAGATGCTACTCTCACACCCAGGGCTAGGGCAAACCTGCGACTTAGAGCCGGTTGAACTGACACAAGGGACCATTAAAGTCAGAACCTTTTTCCCTATTATAATTCTTTTCTCTTTCTGGATACAAAGAAAGGCTTAGAATGTGTTGAAAGTAAAAGAAATTATGTAATCTAATATAATGATAACGATAACATCACAAAAAGGGAGAGCTGGGTTACATATTTTAGACATCAAACAGGCCTAGGGTGCACACACATACAAGTGCAAGCGTGTTACCTAATAACTAAAATAGGTTTCTATACATCTCCTTTTGCTTTGTTCCCCTTCTTCAAACATTGCTTTCTTCTCAGAAGGAAATTTGTGACTCCTTGGAGCGGAATGTGATCAAGCATCCTTGCTCTTCATTACCTCTCATGCAACTTCTGAAAACCTCCCCCATAAGCCCTTCAATCTGCTCCAATTTGTGATGGCAAAGCCAGATCGTGTCACTTGTAGATGTCATAGTCAAGGTGGTTAGGTTAGCCATGGCAGAAATCAAAATTCGTGTCAAATTCGCGTTGTGTCTTTTTTGGGGGTGGAGCTCCTAAAACAGTTACAAGGCCACGAACAAAGACGCCACCAGGGAGTGGAGCGCTTCAGCCCCAGTTGTGTTGTGTTATCCGATATGATTTCCAAACCCTCAACACAAGAGGGGTCTGGAGTAGAAGTCGCCATAATATAACCTACTACAACAGTAATGTCGTCCTTCTTGCCTCCTAGGTACTTTATTCCAGCCTTTTGAGCTGCTCTTGAAAAAGGACTAAACCTCCCCTTGTCCAGCGACCTAACCCTAGCCACACTTGCCAAGGCACAAGCCAATGCCTCCGGCTTCATTTCTCTCATGTTTTCTACAAATTGCACTATCTCATTCGGGTACATGTTATCCCACAACCCATCAGTCCCAAGCACTAAAATATCCCCTGGAAAAACCCTAATTTTGATCTTCGTAGCTGAACGAGGATTATCAAAGCGGGTGCTGTATCCCAGTTGGTACGGATGGTTAAACCTATGCTGTTGACGTGGAGACATGTACAAGAGTTTGTAGTTTCTAAGCACCATGAAACCACTGTCCCCAACGTTCACAAAATGCAAAACTCCTTTGTCTTTAAGGGTAAGAATGCAAGCGGTTGAGGACCCTTTACACCTGGTCTTTACATACGCTTCGTTCAAAACCCTTCTAGGGTCAACGCCTCCAAAAGCTTGCTGCTTTTTGACCGACTTGATCGAGTTGCGCATGAGTTCTCTTGCGTACTGGCTAGCATCCACACCAAGCTTTGCCCAACCACCAACGCCATCTGCCACACCAATAGTCTGCTCTTGTGCGCATATGAAGTGGGCGTCATCGCCTTTGTTTTTTTTGGGGAAATAATAGGACCCGCAAATCATGTTCATGCTTTTAAGATTTCAGAGGGACGGACCAACAATCGCTAACTATGTTCTTAACCTAATCACTTACAAAACAAAACACCTGAGGGTTTGAAAAAATATTACGTACTTGAATGAATCAGCCTGTGGTGTTGTATTTATAGTTATAGGCTTTAGTTTACTACTTGTATGATTTTTACCTATTTCCGGTAGCAATTCCAATCCTGGGTGGACTCGTTCTCAGTATTGGGATTAAATTTGGTTCCACAGTTGTTTCGTTATCCAAAGCAAATCCATAATAACTAGTCACACAGATGTCCAGCATGCGAAGACAACATGGGTGCCTGACACATATGGCCAACATTGCCGCAGTTTCCATTTGCTATTTGAATATTAGCAGCCAAATTAGCCACAGTCTGCACAACCACTTGAATATTGGCCACTGTTCACCATATTGTTGACATAAATGTGCAGTAAATTGTGCCCTAATGATTTAAATGATTTAAGTGCGGTCTTCTAATGCTAGGATATCTAGGTCTTAGTATTGATTAGGAATTCAACAGTCCCTAGTCATGTGGTCCTATGAAGAGTTGTGTTTAGGTTTAATTGAAAGGCCAAACGGATTCCTAAATTTACTGGTTGAATATAAGAAAATGATATATAATCCAGAAATTCTCAACAATATGTCGTATATATGCTCAAGTATAATTTTCCATATTCGAAACCCAATTTTCTAATTCTGAACTTTATTTCTTTTTATAAATTTTCTTTGTTGGAATAAACCCATGTTTTGTCCTACATCAATTTTTCAATTGACTGTGTGCCCAGACACATTGATTAGAATGCAAAAAAAATCAAATAATCTAAATTTTAAAAACAAAGTTAAATTAATCAAAGCAAACAAAATTCTATTATTTGATTTGATATAAATACAAAAATCAAAGGAAGAGCTCAAACATTAACCCTTGCTCTCCTCCTCCTCCTTGTGAATGCTCTTCTTTTGTACAGATGTAGTTAGTTTTGGCCTCACAATCTCTTGCTGATTTTTCTTCTCCAGGAGGAAATTGATGAGGCCTTGGAGTGAAGTTTGAGCATCTCTGCTCTTCATCAATTCCCCTGCAACTTCTGCTGGGGTGACTTTAACCTCCCCTATATGTCCTTCGATCTGCTCGAAGAGTTGGTGATGGGAGAGGCCATGGTAATTGAATGCCAGCTGCTTGAATGCAGAAAGAGTGCAATAGGAGATGTTTATGTGCATGTCCATGCGTCCAGGTCTCGTTAAGGCAGGATCTAGCTTCTCTTTGTGATTTGTTGTGAAAATTATTATGCGTTCGTCAGTACAACATGACCAAAGACCATCAATGAGGTTGAGGAGCCCAGAGAGTGTCACCTATTGATGAAACCAAACAAAAGTTATGTTGTCAGACTAAGAATTTGTACCGCAAATTCAGACAAGAATCAACATAATTAAGTCCAGACTCATGTTATGGCAGCATAAAGTGATTAACTCGGAAGTCAGGAAGCTTGTTTTAATGGAAAACTAGTAATGCCCTAAATGTAAACTGACCTGATTTTTCCCCGTACTCAGTGCTTCATTCTCGGTTTCCCTGTTTTGCAGGTTAATTGTGCAGTCGATATCTTCGATTACAAGTATAGATTTGTCAGGCATGGCAAGCAGCCTTCTCTTCAAATCGGAATTGGAACCAACATCTGCTAGCTCCAACTCGTAGATGTCATAGTTAAGGTGATTAGCGATGGCTGCAATCAAGCTGGACTTGCCTGTGCCAGGAGGGCCATATAACAAGTACCCACGTTTCCAAGCTTTTCCGATCCTTCTGTAAAATTCCTTTCCATTTTTGAAATTATTCAAATCATCCAACAAAACCTTCTTAATCTCCATATCCATGGCAAGCAGCTCAAAGGTCATGGGGTGATTCAGATTTACCTCTTGGGGCCCATAACATTCATATTGATCAATTGTGCAGAGCTTTACTACCTTCCGTTCTACTTTAATCGCCTTTGATCTGTCTAAAATGTATGGAAGGTATGAATTTAATACCTTCTCCTTGTGCTTCTTGTGGAAAGTTAGCTCATAGGATCTTGTTTCTGCTCTTAAGGATGCATTAAGATCACCAGGATTTGTAGCCCTTGATGATTCAACCTTTGTACAAACAAATTTCCACATCACTTGAACATGATCTTCATAAACGTCACATATCTCTTCCCCTCGATCCAGCGCAACTCCAAGCTTCTTCTCCTTGGTAAACTTGCTCACTTTGATTCTTTGAAGAGACGGGGTCGCTAACGTGCCCAAATAGGCTTCAGCAGCCTCAAAGACTTCATTCAAGGATAGCCCTTGAAACTCATCTATGACAATGGTGAGGTGAGAAGAGAAGCGCCGGGAAATGTTATGGAGGCTTGAGAAGAAGTAGTTTCGAAACTCATTAGGAATGAAGTCATTGGCAATACTTCTAAGAAGCATTGCAGAAGCAGCAACAGTGGCTATCGCAGGCAAAATAGCCTTTGTATCAGGCATTTTTCAAGGCCGAAGTTTTGTTGGAGAGTTGGACTAAAAAGTAAAATGGGGATTTGGCAACTTATTAATATGAAATTGGTTTGCCTTAGAATATTTTGGCAACCTGAATATATAGAGATTTCTAACAGAAAGTAATAACAAAGACTGTTCCATTAGAGGTGGTCTTTCATTGACTTTTGAATTGACCTCTTAAAAATTTCGTATATTTGCAGAAAATAGTGTTTTTGAATTTTCTAAGTCGAAAGTTTGCATAAGAAGGTTCCCCTATGGATTCGGTGGTTCAAAGTTTTTTCTCTTTGGCCAGCAAGAGAAGTCGCCAAGGGTGTGCGAAAGAAAGACTCTTCATCGATTATGAAATATTGTTAACATGGTTAATTAAACCTAGGTCTCAACACGCACAAACATATGCAAGCATGTGTTAATTATTCTTTCTCAAGATTTCTCCATTTCCGGAAAAAGAGAAATAGCTGAGCCTAAAAATCATTAATTAAGAAACATGTTTAAATTCTGATGGATAATTAGAAAATAAAGGATGTGATGAACAATAACACTTTTGAGTTTAAGATTTAATGTACAATAATATTAAACTATGAGCCTACTAGACCACGTTGATATTTTATTTAATCCGATGTTTTGGTAATACAATAGAATGACCATTAAGGAGTGCCATTAAGGTTATTACACATAAGGTAAGAAAATTAACCAGATTCAAATTCAAAAAAAAACAACCAATTACTGAAGTTCGGTTGGTCATGGATGTTTGATTCAGGTTTTTTGCATTTTGTGCGCTCTGTATTGGCTGGTCTTTGTCTTCATTGTTTCCAAGAGAGCAATTCCAAACCCCAGAAATATACTGAACCAACAAGACTACTACTTAAAGTTCAATGATACCTGTAGCTAACTTTCCAAGAGAGCAATTCCAAACCCAAGAAAGATACTAAGCCAACAAACCCAAGAAAGATACTAAGCCAACAAGACCACTAATAAAAGTTCAATGATACCTGTAGCTAACTTTCCGGTGCACCTACCACGATCACAGTTCCAAGTTATCTTCTTTTCCTTAACCCATTCCTTCCAAGTCTGTGATGGGACGGGGCAAGCAACATGGAAGGATGTGTCACTGCTATTAATGGGATTAACAGAGCTTGTAGACATTTCATCGAGCGGCTATGTTGAAGAATATCATTTGAGCGCTGCACGTCGATCGGTCTGTGCCAATGGGCGTTACATAGGTCTTGTTCTACTGCTTGAGGAAAGTCGAAGTAACGTTAAATCTTACAATAACGATGATGTCATCGGTCTTTGTGCTCGAATTTAGCTTTTTGAGCCTCGCCGAATGTTCGTGCGGAACTTTTTAATCTTATTATATTAAGTTTACTCCAATATTTCACAGAAATCAAATTATTTAATTAAAAAATATTTTTACGAAAAAAACCAATTCTTTTTTGGCTCAATACAAACAAACGTAACAAGCAAGTTCTACGTTATTCTGACACATCAATTCCAACCATCGTTGAAAGTTCTATTTTATTGTCCACTATCATGAAAATTGTTGGTTAAACCAGTCACTCGTTTATTATTTTAGGCTATAAAAGCATGACTTGAATGATCACACTGAGAGAAAGCTATTCATTTTTAAATTTTTTTTTTTATACAAGTGATATTTTAATTTAATCTAAATTACACGAAGGGGGATTCGAACTTGGATATAGAGTGGAGAATACATCCGTTCTAGCCAACTTTGCAAAGCCCATGTGTGCGAAGCTATTTAGGTTTTTTAGTTATGTTGTAAATGATTATTGTGCCATTAATTTCACAATAAATTGAGAAATTGTTTTTTTGGTGTGGGTTTAGAGATAATTACAAGGGGCTATTGGGCATTGAGAAAATCAAACTGTCACTACTACAAGAAGGGGCTAAGGCCACAGTTTGCCTAACCACCACGACGAACTAGCAGTGGCCATTGATGTTTAATGACCACGGTTAATGTGCATTAGTATTCAACTTTGCTTCACTCATCAGTCACTAATACTATATGCACTAATCAACTATCTACTAGGATCCATCTGCTCTCTCTAAAAAAAATGGAGAAAGGGCAGATATAACAAGATTAAAAAAAACGGGCCCGTCCTATTTAAACTCGTGCTTTTAATGTTTTCGTGCCGGGCCGAGCCTGCTTATTTAATTTATTGGGCCATGCTGTGCAGGCCCATTTAGTAAAATCATTGATCCCGACACGGCCCAAAGCTCATGTCCATATTGAAACGGGCCGGACTGGGCTCATGCCTTACTCGGGCCCAAAAACCAACCCATTTAATTTGAATTTTTTTCACTCGATTTTTTTTTTCCACTAGATAATTCAAATTATAAACATTAAAAATATAATTAGAGGCAAGAAATGATGAATTATTTGAAAACATTAATCAATCAAACATCCAAACAACATGAAAGGGTGGAGGGCAAAAAGTGTCAAACTCCACAAAGTCCATTTCAACTTTTCGTCTTTAAACAATTTATTGTTTTATATGTGAAGAAATTTCTTGCTTTGATTATAAGAGAACCGTATATGTCATATGTACTGATTAGATATCAAGTCCAATGTAGTTTAATTAATTTGTAATTGATATGTTTAATTAATTAAGGACCCAAGTAATTTCCCTAAAATGAAAGACATAAAATATATGTTTATGATAAAAATAAAATAAAAACCATATAAACAATGACATTAGATGTCAATTTATTGCATTTTGACTTTTGAGAAAACAAAAAATGTTAAGTGGGCTGGGCTTGGGCCGTGCTTGAAGCGGGCTTGGGCTCGTGCCTTGCTTGAAGCGGGCTCGGACCAAGTCCGGCCTAGACCATTGGACCTCATTTTTTGATTCCGGCCCGACCCAAGTTTTCTTGCAGTGCGGAGCACAGCCCATTAATATTCGTGCTTTTTTTGGAGGCATTTCCTATTAAGAGGGGTGATAATATATTAAATTCTCACAAACTACATGGATACTAGGACTCGAATCCAGACCTTTCATGGGGTTACAATTGCTCCAAACCACTACACTAGTGGGTCTTTTGTATCAAAAACAACTTTTTTGTTGTTGTTAGAAGCAATAATTTAATCTACGGGGAGGGGGATTCGAACTTGGCACAAGGGGGTGGGCTCACTGCCTGAAAAACTCGCATAACTTAATCAAAACTACTTAAGTTCAAACATGGTCTAGCCCATCGGAAAAGGGCATTGAATTGCATACCACTGGTCTCAGGTTCAAACACTATGCCACCTTAGTAGTGTGTGTCTGTGAGAAACTCCCGTCCCTTCGTACTTTAGACTATCATTTGTATTAAAAATAAAAAAATAAAAAATCAATGTTGTGATGGTAATGCCGCATCCTAGTATCTTTGGAATATGTAATGTATACATAATTACATGGACGCCCTAAACGTTAGGTATGAAAATATTAATAAAGAAGCTAAAAAGCTTTCGCGCACACTTATTTTCAAAAATTATAGACATTATTCAATCGAGATTTCTTAAGAGATTTCAAAGAGGTTCCAGAAGATTTTTGAGAGGTTTTTTAAGCCTCTTGTTGAGGCATCATATATTTCATAGGGTTAATTACAGTTTAGTACCCTGAGAAGTGACCATATTATGGTCCAATTACTTTCAAACTAGTCCATGTCTATTCAATTTGGTTTGTTTTTAAGTTATTAATTCATCAATTTCCAATTAGATTTGTTATCACTTTGCCATGTATTAGTAATTTGGACTAGTTTGCCTATCATCACTTGCCAAAAAATTTAAAATACATGGATTATTCCTAATAAACCCTACCAATTTTGGGTTTTGATCTAATTTTCTATTTCAACAATGAGGTTTGTGTTTTTAAGCGGTTTATCAATGAAAAGAAAACCCAATGAAACGACACAAGACCAAATGAAAATGAAAATAATAAATTAACCTAAGTTTTAAAACCAAATTTAATTGAATGCAAACAAAAATTATATTATTTGATACAAATACAAAAATAAAATCACACAAAGGAAGAGCTCAATCAGATCGACGACGATGTATTACCTAATAAACAAACTTGGCAGTCTCTTTGTTGCCCGTCAAACATTACATTAACTCTTGCTCTTCTCCTCCTCCTCCTTCTTGTAGGTGCTCTTCTTTTGTACATACGGTGTTAGTTTTAGGCTCATAATCTTGTTGAGTTTTCTTCTCCGGGAGGAAATTGATGAGGCCTTGGAGTGAAGTTTGAGCATCTCTGCTCTTCATAAAATCTCCTGCAACTTCTGCTGGGGTGACTTTAACCTCCTTTATAAGTACCTTCGATCTGCTCGAAGAGTTGGTGAGGGCAGAGGCCATGGTAATTGAATACCAGCTGTTTGAGTGCAGAAATGGTGCAATATGACATGTGGATGTGCATGTCCATGCGCTCAGGTCTCACCAGCACAGGATCTAGCTTCTCTTTATGATTTGTTGTGAAAATTATTATGCGTTCATCAGTACAACATGACCAAAGACCATCAATGAGGTTGAGGAGCCCAGAGAGTGTCACCTATCGATGAAATAACACACTTAATAAGATCATACGTATCTCTACAAGGGATCTTGTAGATTTATATTACCGGACAAATGCTTACGTTGACGTTGTCAGACTAAGAATATGAACTACACATTCATGCAAGAACCAACCTGATTAAGTCCAAGTTCACATTATAGCAACATAAAGTGATAGGGAGCTAGGAACCTTGATTTTATACAAAACTAGTCATGCTCTAAAAGTAAACTGACCTGATTTTTCCTGGTACTCCGTTCTTCATTCTCAGTTTCCCGATTTTGCAGCATGATTGTGCAATCGATATCTTCGATTACATGTATAGATTGGTCAGGCATGGCAAACAACCTTCTTCAAATCGGAATTGGAACCAACATCTGCTAGCTCCAAATCGTAGATGTCATAGTTAAGGTGATTACCTACCGATGGCTGCAATCAAGCTGGACTTGCCTGTGCCAGGAGGGCCATATAACAAGTACGATATTGCTATATAGTAAGAGCCCATTTGATAACCATTTCAATTTTAGTTTTTAGTTTTTATTTTTCATTTTTCATTTTTCATTTTTTGTGTTAGAGTATAGAGTTAAAAAATATGGAGAATGGAAGAGAGAATGAGAGTGTAGATGAGATTGAGAGGGAAGATAAGAGGGTAGGATGGTAGGGAGGAGTAACAAAAGTGAAAAGAAAAACTAAAAACTGAAATTTATTTCAAAGTGTTTTCACTTTCAAGTTTTTGTTGTCACTTTTCTTACTCCTCCTTCTCATCCTCCCCTTTCATCCTCACCCCAATTCTCACTCTCATTTTCACTTCCATGGTACTTTAGCACAAAAATGAAAACTAAAAACTAAAATTGAAATGGTTATCAAACGGGCCCTAAATATTTGCTCCATGGTAATGTTTTTCTTTTGGTCATGTGATAATTACACAGAACCTTTAAAAGTTCAAGTGGTATATTAGTAATTCTCTTAGAATAGTGATGTGTTAGTAGCTACTAACTTGTTAGTATGTTATTTGTTAGTAATTATAAATTAATAAATTAATAAATTAATATTGTTGAGAGATGGCTCCGATTAAAAAAAGAAGAAGAAACATTGACTCATTATTTGATGAACAAATTTTACTTTACTTGTGTGAGTGTAATATATCTTGGAAATTTCTCTTGTAATTAAGATGCCTTTTTTATTATATAAAGTTTTATATAATATGTAAGCCTACTCACTCATATTTTTTCTTATTGATCTTATATATTAGAGTTTCGACTATTGTTATTAGTAGGCTTCATTATTGATATGTCCCTCAAATCTTAATCCAGTCTTACTTTGCTTACTTAAAACTTAATTTGCCTCACATAAATCTCAAATCTTAATCTCGTATCTTACTTTGCTTCATATTCTTCAACTCTTTTAGAGAATCCATAAGTCTTTCGACGTTGCATGAGTGGGAACACTAGTCCAATGAGGTGTTAGTTAGGTTGTTGCCACATGTGCAAAACTTAATATTTAATATATATTTATATTTATAATAATATAATATTGCTTTTAAAAGAAAAACTTTTTGTCAAAAAATTTGGGTATACTACAATTTGTCCCGTTAAATTACCACGCTAATGTCAACTTATCCCTTCAAACTCTTTTTTTTGGGTTAATTAAAGACTTAAAATATATAAAATAGCAAATATGGGGAATTGGCTTTAATTTTTTTTTCGAATTTCATCCAATTTTCTGATAATAGTAAAGGAAAATTTATAGCTTTAAGAAAAAGAAAATTTAAGCTATTAAAATGCTAAATATATAAGTAAAAAAATTAAAAACAGAAGAGGACCCCTTAATTTCTAATGGAAGATATAAAAATGACTTCTTTTTATTTATATATAAATGGAATAGGGGAAAAACTCTAGAACAAGGGACCACCAAGCAACACTAATTAGCCGAGGCTTAGCAACTCCAATTAGATTATCAAGAAGCCCAGTACCAGCACAAGAAGGAGTAATTTCAAAAATACACATACTTAGATCCAAATTAAAACTCCAATTGGCAAGATCAACCATGTCATTCTTTTCACGACAAATGTGGGCCACAACACAGCTTCCAATACCATAAAAAAATTAAACCAGCAAGAGGATGCAACACATCAAAATTCCACAAGAGAGTAACAGTAACATCAGAATCCATCTCTACTAAGAGGCTGGAAATTCCTTTATCCACAGCTAACTTGAGACCAAAGTAAAGACCCCAAAGTTCATCTTCCAAAATTTCACCATTCCCTAGATTTACTACAAAACCACCAAACCAATCTCTGATAACTTCCATATCATCATCATAACATGTATAGCCTTTGTTGTAAATGTTAATTTTATCATATTGTATTTAGTTTACTCCAGTATTTCACACAAATCAAACTATTTAAATTTTAAAAAAAAAACATTTTTGCAGAAAAAAAATTTCTTTTTTGATACAGTACAAACAATAATCATTAATTATAAGTTCGATGTTATTCTAACACAATTAAAACCGCGTTGCAAGTTCTACTAAATTTTTTTTTCATATATATTATGAAAACAGTTGCTTTTAATAAGTTTATTATTTCAGGCTATAAAAGCATGACTTGGATGATCACACTCTTTGTTACATAAGCTGTTCATATTTATAGTGTTTCAGAATTAGAAACGTTTTATTGATGTGATATTTTAAAGAGTTGTTTAATTATTGATACTATTAATATATAACCATTGGGTCTTTGGATATATATGTAGATATAAGCTCATGCATGAGTTTTTATTTTAACCAATTCTTAGAAAATTAACAAAAAATAAGAAACTTAAAGGGATATTTAGTTATATACTCATTCTTAGCACTAGTAATATAGATAAACCATACACCATATAAACAAACAAAAAAAAATCTAAAAAGTGACAGCTAGCCCTATTGAATTTATTTTGATTATTAAATTACTTTGATACCTTATGGAGTGTTTTGGGTTTTTTTAAATGAGGTTTTGGAGTTGGGCTTGTTTTAAGAAATCAATGGTAGTTTTGTAATTTATAGGAAGTTCGAAGCCCCTTTGTTATGTTGTAAATGGGCTTTGTGTGTGTGTTTATAAATTGAGCCCTTATATTGAGTATAATAATAAGGGAGATTCACTAATATACCCAATATAGGGGCCCAAATTATAAAAATACCCCATATGAAATGAACTTTATAAACACACCCAAAACCCATTTACAACATAACAAAGAGGCCTTAACTTCTTATAAATTACAAAACTACCATAAATTTCTTAAAACAAGCCCAACCTCAAAATCTCATAAAAATACCCAAAACACTCAATAGGGCATTAAAGTAATTTAATAATCAATATTAAATTCAATAAGGCCAGCTGTCATTTTTGGGGTTTTTTTTGGGTTTGTTTATAGAAATTCAATGATGGAGAGTTTATCTATAATATTAGTGCTAAGAATGGATATATCACTAAATATCTCTAATAATAAATCTCCCAAAATTAAATTTACATCTTCTCCGTTGAAGCAAAAACCATATTTACAACATTTACATTTACATTTACAAAGGACATATAAGTATGACTTTAGTCAGCATTAATGCTACACTTAGAATAATGTTTTTTTTAATAGGGAAAAGCAATAGTACACTTAGAATAATGTTTAGTTGCTAAATTAGTTTACGAAATTCACATATAGCGAATGATTTGTACATTTAAAATGGGAAAAAAGTTTTCTAAAGAAAGTTTTCTTTTTAGGATAAGATGACAGAAATTATTTTTTATTACTTTTTTTATTGCAACATGAATCCCACATGTTACAGGAAAACCAACCTTGGAAATTTCTACACCTGTCCGGTGATTTAAAACCCATTAAAACTAGGATTCCACATCCCAGCGGGAAAGAATGAGAGCCTATAAATACTTATTTGGTCTCTCTCTCTCTTCATTCTCATCACTCTCTTGCTCTCTTCACTACTATCGCTGTGTTTTAGGAAAGATGATGATCGCCAACTACAATAACACAAATACTTGCTATGGTTATGGCTCTCAATATCAACAAATATTAACGGAACATGAGGAATTGAGAAGAAAAAGGAAAGTGAATAAGTCTGATCAAATTCAAGAATTACTATTACAAAATAGGAGGAAGATTCATAATGAGAAGATGAAGCTGGTCTGTGGGTCTTGCTATCTTCCCAAAGACAACCCAGACAAGCCCCTCGGCGAAGACGCCCACTTCATCTGCCACGACGGCCAGACCATCGGCGTGGCAGACGGCGTAGGCGGCTGGGCCAAGATAGGCGTCGATGCGGGCGTGTACGCAAGGGGACTCATGAACAACGCCAACCAAACGGCCATGGACATGACCCGAGCCGCAGCCGCCGCGGTCGATCCAAGAAATGTGTTGAACCAAGCATACGCAAACAACGCCGGAGTACAAGGCTCGTCCACAGCTTGCATCCTCAGCCTCAACAAAGAGAGTGGGGCACTGCACGCCGTGAATGTCGGGGACAGCGGCTTCATGGTGTTCAGGGACATCAGGTGTTTGTACAAGTCTCCACCTCAGCAGCGCATGTTTAACTGTCCGTACCAGTTGGGGAACTACGTCGGCTACGACCGTCCCAAGGCGGCTCTAGAGTTTGTGATGGAGGCAGTCCCAGGGGACATCATAGTGCTTGGGACAGATGGGTTGTTGGACAACATGTTTCCGAGTGAGATTGAGGATGTTCTTGTGGCGTATAGAGGAAGCGGTCGGGATTGTGAGGAGTTGGCTTCCGCCATAGCCAACCTGGCGCTGTTTAACTCGTTGGACAAGTACAGCGTTAGCCCTTTTCAAATGGAGGCTCAGAAGGCTGGACTGGAGCACGCAGGTGGCAAGATCGACGACATCACTGTTGTTGTCGCCCAAGTTGTGGCTTCTAGCTCCTTCACTACACCAGCTAGCTTAGGTTTCGGTTTTGAACGCACAGATACAAGAAAAAGAGAAGACTATATTAGGTTTAGAAATTAAGGTTGTACTTTCCCCGTTATTACAATTAATACAATTCTTTATTTTTTTTAAATCCAAAAGTTTACATAATTACAATTAGCTGATGAATTGAATATCGCATGTAAATGCAATTTTCCTTCTCAAACCCTAACTGTAACACGAGCCGTCTTCTAGCCCCTCTCTCTTGCTCAGACATAACCGGCGACCTCTCTCTCTCTCTCTCTCTCATAGCACCATCGTCATCTCGTCCCTGACCTTGGAGATTCCAAAATGGCTTTCTTTTTTTCTAGGCACTAGCGTCATGCCTAGACCACCTAGCGCCCGCCTAGCAATAGCCTAGTCCGCCTAGCCCTCGCCTAGGCCATTTATTCAGTAATATTAACAATATGAGTGACATTGTGTTCAAGGATTTGACTTTTAAAGAAGATTTCCGAACAACAATAGATAACCCAATGAAGTTTCGACAAAGAATTATCCTCTCAAGAACCACCCATTGCCTTCCCAATTCCACAAATTACAGAACTATTCCACCTTTTGGTTTTCGGTTTTAGTATCGCAACTTTGATTAAGAACGTCAGTATATCTGCGATTTGTAGATCGCCATGATCTCTAGTATGTGTGGTGGCTCCCATGGGAATTGTCTTCGATGCAAAATTTAGGAGAAACCCTAAACCATTAACATATTATTCTTTTTTATTTGGTTTTGATTTCACAATTGTGTTTCTCATTTCTTGTTCTTGTTGCACAGTTTCGTAAGAGGATATTATTGGTCCCCCCTAAGTCCTTGTTTGGGCAGCATAACATCGAAAAGTTTTATTTTTACATGAACCTTTTTTACGTACGATATTTTTGTTGCTTGTGATTGTCGATGATCATACGTCATCTAATTGGTTCCTTTTCCATTAGTGGTATGAGATTTTGTTCTGCACATTTCTTCATATTTTACTGTTAGAGTTGCTTTGTTGTGGCCTCCTTTTCCGCCTGGTTTTTGCCCCTATACAAGCCCTGGCAGTTCCAAAGTTGGGAGCAATTTTTGGCAGTTCATTTGATCCTCTACAAGCATTGCAGTTCCACAGTTGGGAGCAGTTACTAATGGTTTTATTGGGTCTTTTCAATGTTAACAGATAAGTTTGGAATAGTTTCTTGTGGTTTGATGGTTACTACAACACCAGATAAGTTTTGCCTTGTTGGCCATGTTATGTTGTTACATTTAGAATGATCATCTTGGTGTTTTCTTTGTTACTTATGTTTTCCTTTTATTGTGTCATTGTGTTTATTTTTCTTGTTTTGTGTCTTTAGTTTTCTTCGTTTTTTCTACAGCTTGGTTTTAGTAGGCTTTTGTTTATTTTTATGGTTACTTGTTGTTTTGCTTTTGTTTTAGCATGGTCTTTTTAGTTGTTGTCTTGTTTCAGTTTGTTTTTTAAGTTTTCTAATAAACAATCAGTTTTGTGTAGTTGTGTAGTTGCGTTCTTCTTATTTTTGTTTTAAGTAGACATTTGCAGGTTGTCGGTTAAGTTCTCATGGTGTATATGCACCATTCTTTTTTCTTTTCTTTTATTTTGTTTCTAGCTTTTGTGCTTCTAACTTTATTTTCTAACCCTTTGTTTGGGTTTTGTTGGCTAGTTCTCTTTTTTTACTATTCATTTGTGTTTTTTAGTTTATTTTAATTTTTATCTCATTTTTTCTTGTTTTTCTGAATTTGTGTTTGGTGTAGGCTGCAAGTTTCTAGTGCAATCCAACAGATTGAAGGGATGTTCAGGCTTCCTATTCTTTCTTTTTTTCCCATTGAGTTGTTCAGGTGCAAGTATTTTTTTAAAAAGATCACGCATCTCATGTTTCGATTTTGGATAGTATTTGCTATTTTCAATGCCATCTTATGTACACTCTTATGGTGCTTATTATTTTAATAAAGCATCTATTCCAACAACAAAAAAAGAAAAAAAAAGGAGAAGATTTCCGAGAATTGGAAAATAAAGAGATGATATTGTTCCCACAACCTTGTGAGTATTTGCTAGACTCTGTGTGCCTTGAACGATACATGCCAATCAAAAATCTGAAATTTTTGGGTTCATGTTCTCATCCAAGAGAATGTTACTGACTTTCAAATCTCTATGTATTACCTTCGAACAGGAATCATGGTGGAGATAAAGAAGCCCTCTAGCAATACCCTGAATAATCTTGAAGCGTCGACCCCAATCAAGCACTGCTCTTCCTGCCATTGGAATTCAAAATATAACAGTAATGTCATTGATACATCCCAATCCCATGCACTTCACAATGAAAAAATTGACCATCACTATGTAACAAAGAGCAATGAAACTAATTGAATACAAGAGTATCCAAGCTTCTGTTTGGCATGAAATCGTAAATTAGTAACTTCTCATCATCCTGGATAGAGCAGCCCATGATCCTAACAAGATTTTTATGTTGGAGTTTGGAAATCAACAGCATCTCATTCTTGAGCACTTCTATGCCTTACCCTGAGCTACTAGCTATAGATAGTCTTTTTACTGCAATAGAGTTTATCACTTACCTAATTCCGTGTGTGCTAGGTGAATAAAAAGATCTACTCCACCAGAGGAATACTCCTGAATATCAATAAAGTCTTTGGATCAGACCAAACACCCTATATTGTTAATTAACATGTGTATAAGCCAGGCAAGAACAACTATTTGCACCCAAAGTCGAAATATACTCATGTGAAGCTGGTAGGTTTACACTTCCCATCTTCCAAAACCCATCTTCTTTTCCTCTCGAAGCAACTGACTTGTGTTACTCTCACACAACAATTTGGTTTTCCTCACACACCCCCCTGTCCAGTTTCCTTTGCTCCACTCTTCATGTGACTTTGGTACAAACCCTTTCAAACACTTGCAGATTGGAGATTCAGAAGCTTTGCAAACCCCAAAAGGTCCACATTTTCCATACTCGTCACATGGACCTAAACCCTAAACCCTAGTAAATTTATATTTTTAACTGTATATATACAGTTATGCAAAAGCATCATTCTCTCTTCATTATCGTTTGCTCTAGATGAAGACTAAATCTTGATCATCCACATGAGGCTCACAAGCCAGTGGAGCTGCCTATAAGGGATAAAAGAATACAGATACATAAGTAAATTTGAAGTTGTAGACTGCAAGTACATCATGAGCATCTGTACATGTAATCTAGTTGGAACTTGGAAGCACTCATAGGGTTGCATTTTATTTTATGTAATTGCATATGTAAAAAAAAAAAAAAAAAAAAAAAAAAAAAAAAATTTGGAAAATTAAATTGAAAAAATGATTTATGTTCCGGTTGATCAATCCAAATGTGTTAATTTGGAATTTGGTACGGAGCTGATAATCCATTATACATTATGGAGTTGGTTCAGTTGATTTTAATTTTAAAGAAAGCTATCCTCTAGGTTCTTTGAATCGATCAATATTCCAATTGTAAGATATTAGCTAGAAATTGGAAATATAAAAAAGAAGAAGAAATTCGACACCAATTAGCTTTTAATCTATTGGTACTTAGATCTCAAGTTTTCCCCTCTTCTTTTTTTTTTTTTTTTTTTTTTTTTTTTTTTTTTAAATAAAAAATTAGATAAAAGAACCAAATATAAAAGGGTCTATTAGTGAATTTTCTCATATGCGGGGGCGGATTCAGGATTATGTGGCCAAGGGGTCACAGTGTAAAAATTTCAAAATTTTTCTATAAAGAAAATAATACTAGAAAAATAGAAAGATAGTACTTCTATTCATAATTTATGAAAAAACCAATAATACAAGTTATAATTGTCCACGACGAATTTTCATATTTTGAAAACAACTCTCTCAATGTAAACAATCAAGCTACGACATCAAGAGCTAGTTGAAGTTGATGAGCAAAACAATGAACATAAAATGCACAAGGTTGTTCTCTTAAAATCTTTGTTTTAAGGCCATTTAACTCACCTCGCATATTACTAGCTCCATCATAACCTTGTCATCGTAGCTTTGAAAAGCTCAAATTCTCGAAAGAAAATAATTCATCAATGGCTTCCTTTAGTGCACTTGAAGTATTGTCGGTTACATGTTGAACCCCTACAAACCTTTCAATTATTTGTCTTTTGTCGTTCACATAACGCAACACCATCGTTATTTGCTTCTTTATTGAAACATCATGTGCTTCATCCACCATTATTGAAAAATATCTATCTTTTATATAACTCAAGATAAGACCAATGGTGTCTTTGACACAAGAATTGAGAAGATCTTTTTGAATTGAAGGAGCTATTAACTTCAGATTGCCTGGAGCATTTTCCAACACAACGACCTTAACATTTTCATCATGATCTGCAAGAAATTGCAAGAGCTCTAAATAATTCCCCTTATTACTTGAAATGGCACTTTCATCATGAGCATGAAAAGAAAGACCTTATCGCAACAAATACCTAGTGCACTTGAGTGATGCATTCAAGAAAGTGCAATAAGCCATACGAGCTTAGTTTGTTTGCTTGATCACAACTGTTTCAATGTGTGTAGTTTGATGCATCAAATTGTAAGCAACTTCTCTTGCTTGGTTGTAAACACTATCAACCGGTCCAACATGAAGGTTAAATATTTCTTTCCTTTTCTTCCACTTATTAAAGCCTACCCCAATGAATGCGTCACCACCCATTTGATCAAAATTAGGTTTAAAGATATAACAATGAAGACAAAACGCAACATCTTTAGCTATATTATATTCCAACCAATCAAACTTATCAAACTAATGAGCAATGAAGTGTCTATTAATTCATGATTAATTAGTTTGTGGCAATCTATGACTTCTAGGTTGACAGGTCCTTTTTTGTAGATATACTCTTTGGTTCTCATCTCAAATATTAGGACTATAATCCGTCATTCGAGTTCTTAGTCCCAAGTCTGCTTGAAGATTAGCCAATATCTCATCTACTTCAATTAGTCTTGCATTTGAACTACCTAGATTAGATGGAGAATGAGTATCCGTAGATAATTATCTTTTAAAGAATCGTTCCACAAATCTACACATCAATTAATTCAAAATCAACACATCAATTAATTCAATCAGTCATTAATTTTTATCCAAATTATCATATGAATATGAAAATGTCAATAACCCACTATCAATATTCAATATACCAAATTATCATATCAATCAATATTCAATATACCAAATTATCATATCAATCAATATTCAATATACCAAATTATTATATTAATCAATATTCAATATACTCAATCAATCCACATTATCAATCAATTATAAACTCAATCAATCTACATTATCATATCCATAAATTTCATTCCATAAAAAAAATATTAATATCAACAATATATATTATCACTATAAATTTATAAATATCAATTTTGCTCACTTATAGTTGAAAAAAAAGGGTGGCGAACGGCGACACAAGGTGGTGGTGGTCGGCGCCGGCGAAGAGTTGTGGTCGAGGTTGTTGGAGGTTAGGTTTGAGACGGTGAGAACATATGTGAAATTGGGATTGAAAAGGGTTTAAAGGTGCTATGTAGAGTCAAGTAACTGTTGATCTTTTTTTCTTTTTTTTAACCTGGCCCAAAACGTCGTCATTTTGAGGCCATGTCAAATTTAAAAAACTTTGACTGACTCGTTTAAAAAAAATGATGCGAAGCAAAGCATGGCAAATAGGTTGGGACTTTCGTCGAGCACCTAGTGTGCACACAATAGGTCATTCAGCTACTGTCCAATGGGTATTTCATGGAGTCCACATGCAAATTTCCAGCATTCCAAGGGGTCGTGCGACCCCTCTTGTCCAGGGCTGGCAATGGGTCGTATAGTGTCGTGTCATGACAATAAAAGTGTCAGGAATGCTTAACCCAAACTCGACCCATTTGATAAACGTGTCGTGTCGTATCAAAATAATAAAAGTGTTAATAATGCTCAACCCAAACTCGACCCATTTGATAAACGTGTCGTGTTAAACATGTTAATCTATTTAACCAATTATTAAACATGTCACATGCTGAATTCAAAATAGACATGATAATTAGAATGAGGAGATCGACTTAGGCTAAGGGTTTTCATTTGGGTGGGTTAAAACCCACTACCTTAGGATGCATGGTGGAATATAACATAACATGTCAGTTTATGCATGCCACATATTATTATCCTTTTGACAACCATAAGAAGAATTTTAAGAAAGAAAGGGTAAAGAAAAAAAAAGGAGGGCGTCTAGAGCAAATTTGGGACTTCTGCCTACATAAATGGAAGGGTTCGCTTGAGACCAAACAAAATGGGAGCGGTTGGCAATCTTTTCTTAGCTGGGTGAGCAAAGCAATGTCCAGTAGCTTCTCCTAGATGGCTTGGGCCTAGATAAGTTGGCCCTATTACTGGTTGGGGTTTGCCTGCCACAAAAGCAATTGATTGATTCCCACTAGGGATGGGCATCTAAAGCCAAAATACCGAAACAGTACACGTACAGTTCCGTACCAAACAGGTTTTATACCGTTTCATGTGGTATTAGGCTTCATTCGGTATGATACCATACTGTGTCAAGCGCGTATGGCACGGGAGTGGTACCGGATATTTGGTAGCGTTCAGTACCGTACCGAACATGAGTAAGTTTTAAAGCATATTGTATTGTTCAGTTTTGCACCAAACAACAGACTATTGAGTTTGAAATTTTATTTTATTCAATCTGCACCCAATAGTATCTCTATCCAAATCTAATGACGAAGACCAACTACAGAACCCCAAAATTGCCATGAAAAAATAGAAAAAGAACACGATCTTAACCCCCAATTTGATTCCACCACAACCACCACACAAGTTAGGGTCCAATTCACTTGAAGATACGGTAAAACAAGAAAAAGAGCAACCACAACTAAAAACCCAATGAAATACATCTGAAAAACCATCAGCTTAGCCCCTCGAACCACCCAAAAACAATGAAAAACCAATAACAAGAAAAGTACCCAACAAAGGGAAGAAGGAGTCGATGGGGCACAGAGAGAAGATGAATATATGAAGAGGAAGAAAGATATATAGATCTAAAAAATAATTAGTTTCCAATCCCATATCAAGATTTAAACTACACAAAGAAAAAGAAAAGAAGAAAGAAGAGATGAAGAAAAGAGGAAAGCTGCTCAAAATGCAAGAAGAAAGTGAGGATAAGAAAATATGAAGAAAGCTGCTGAAAGCATAAGCAGCTGATGAAGTGAGCGTTCGAAACCACATAGAGTGAACCCGAAATGGTACCGTTTCACACCGGAACTGATCATCTCTGGTATGGTACGGTATCAACTTTGGCAACTAATAATCCCATATTGTATCATACCGGTTCCAATTTCCAGTATCGATATCGGGATGAGCTTAATACCGTACCGAACCATGCCCAGCCCTACAAGACACAACAAACTCCCAAAGATTTTTTGAGAATTAAAATAAAATAAAACAAACTCCTAAATAGTAATAATAGACTAAAACAAACAAAGCAACAGGACCACCACTCCACATCCTCTCCAGCAACTGAAGAGACCCATAATGACATACCGGCTAAACCCTTAATATAGCACTGGCTAAACCCCAGCCCACACAAACCGACAACTTCCATGATTGTAACTCCAAAACTAGAGCCAAAACCATGTGTATGTGGACCAAAAGCAACAACTAAATTATAGCGATAATGGTGTTTTATGGTGGCTGCTTCAACATCAACTACAAATCAGCATATCAACCGCTACTACCCCACCAACGTGGGTGCCGCCACCTCTGCCTACAACCAAAAATAGAAAAATAAAACAAATAAAACAAAACAAAACCAAGATCCACATGGATCTGGGCAGCAAAAAGCCTAATCACAAACTAAAACTTCAATTCCTAGCATATGAGGAAATGGAGAAGGAAAAGGGAAAATGGATTGTTAGGGAAGAGATAGGAGGAAGTGGTGAGGGAAAAATAAGGGAGATAGGGGGTAAGGGAGGAAGGTCAGAGACCACCTCCCCCTCCTTGGTGCTGCTGAAGGGTATGAGAGGCTAGGGTTTTTTCAGGAGGTGATATTCTAATTCCTAGAGAACCAACTAATTATGAATTCATCTTTTTTACCCATTATATCATCAGACAATTTTTAAAATCCCAAGTTTGTCATCTTCTTTAACCCAACAACGAGGACATTTTAGTACTTAGTACCACTCCTACCCTAATTCCATATGGTTTAGTAAACAACTTCAATAGGAATCTAGAATCTAATTCTCCTCAATCTTTGGTCTGGCTGAAGGGTATGAGGGGCTAGGGTTTTTTCAGGATGTGGTATTCTAATTCTTGGATAACTAACTAATTAGGAATTCATCTTTTTTACCTATTATATCCTCATACAATTTTTAAAATCCCAAGTTTGTCATCTACTTTAACCCAACAACGAGGATATTTTAGTTCTTAATATCACTCCTACCCTAATTTCATATGGTTTAATAAACAACTTCAATAGGAATATAGAATCTAACTCTCCTTAATCCATATTGTTTAGTAAACAACTTCAATAGGAATCTGGAATCTAATTCTCCTCAATCCAACTCCTCATCATCCAATTACAGATTAATAAACATGCCATGAATTTAAACAAGGAATGTACTACATTACATTGTTCAAGATCCCTCCCGAGCTGTGGAAAAAATTTATATATGTTGATAATTCATTGTTTAGGAATTAAATTAATGATTGAATTTGCACGTGTATTTTCTTTGCTATTATTAACTAATGATATGGAAAATGTGGTGCCCACATTTTGGTTGACGTGGATGCCATGAGATGGTAACGGTAAGTTGTTGTTTGTTACTTCAGTTGTTTATTTATTTATTTTGGCTTATCTTACATTTTTTATTTTTAAATATATTTTTGTCCACTTGGCTTACACATGGCGTCCATATTAGCACTAGAAAATGTATGGTATGGGCCCATTTTAGGAGAAAAGTACAGAAATTATTATTATTTTGTTAATTTTATTAGGTTATGGTTGAGGAAAAAATTTGAAATTTATACAGCTGTAAAACAGGTCAACTTTGGTCAAATCAGGATTCCTAATCTGATTTGGAAAATCATGAGAACCTACGTATAGGAAGGGGTTTGGGTCTCTTTCACTTTCTTCACTCACTCATTTCATTACTGTCATTCTGTCTTGCTCCTCTCGCTCTCGCTCTAGCGAATTGAAGCATTACTCTTTCTTTCTTGCTCCTCTCGCTCTCGCTCTCGCGAATTGAAGCAAAGCAACGATGATGATCGCCAACAATAACCCTGCCTTTGGTTATGGCCCGATCAATTTCAAAAATAATATCCCATCAATCAATAATTTCTGTGACCTTGGCTCTGGCTTTGGCAATGTCGATCAAGATTATGAATTGGGGAGAAAAAGGAAGTTGAATCAACTTCCAGAATTAATACCGAAGAGGAGGAAGATCCGTAATGAAATGAAATTGGTTTGTGGGTCGTCCTATTTCCCCAAATACAACCCAGAAAAGCCCCTCGGCGAAGACGCGCACTTCGTCTCCCATGACGCCCAGACTGTCGGCGTGGCGGACGGCGTCAGTAGCTGGGCCAGGAAAGGCATCGACGCCGGCGAGTACGCAAGGGGACTCATGAACCAAGCCAAACAAGCAGCCACTAATATGTCCGCCGTCGGAGCCGCCGCCGTGGATGCGGGAAAGGTGCTGAGAGAAGCCTACGTGAACAACTTCGGAATACAAGGCTCGTCGACGGCTTGCATCCTCAGCCTTGACAAAGAGCGTGGGACCCTCCACGCCGTGAATGTCGGAGACAGCGGCTTCATGGTGTTCAGGGACGCCAAGTGTATGCTCAAATCTCCAACCCAGCAGCGGAGGTTTAATTGCCCCTTCCAGTTGGGGAATCACGTCGGCAGCGACCGACCCCAGGTGGCTCTGGAGTTTGCGGTGGAGGAATTGGCGCCGGGGGACATTATAGTACTTGGAACAGATGGGTTGCTGGACAACATGTTTGCGAGTGAGATTGAGGAGGTTCTGGTGGCTTTTAATAAAGTAAGCGGTGGTCGGGATATTGATTGTGCGGAGGTAGCTTCCACCATAGCCACCCTGGCTCTGTATAATTCCTTGGACAAGGACAACATTAGCCCTTTTCAGATGGAGGCTCAAAAGGCCGGATTGGAGCACGCCGGAGGCAAGATCGACGACATCACTGTTGTGGTGGCCCATGTGGTGAAATCTACTACCTCCATCGATTAGGTTTTGGTTACCCAACATAGACAAAATTTGGAAACTGAGATTGTAATTCCACGTTCATACAATTAATACAATTCTTTAATTTTTAGTATTATTCAAAAGTGTACATTACAATTTACTGATGATTTGAATGTTACATCCAAGACCAAATATTTTGAATTACCTTAATATTTTGAAGTGGATTGATTAATGCAACAGTGACTTCATTAATATTTTTTTGATTACATTGGCGGAAAGAAAAACCCCCTGGGGTCCTTGGTGCTATAGGGGGAGGGGGAATCCACCACCACCACTCTGGCGGGACCCATTGGCAGTGACTTCATGAATTTGGTACATCTCAGAATCTCCATTTCTAGAGAAAAATAGGTGAGGCCAAAAATTTCTCTCATTTTCTTTCTAATTCTATCACATCTAACCATCCAAAAGGGAAAAATGATCTGCAATAGTAATTAGGTCATCTATTCCAAAGAATATCAAAACATTAGTAATATGAATTTACTTTGGGTCCATCAAAATCTTTAAAATACATGCAAGTCACCAATGAACTCAAGAACTCAACTACACGTTTATCAGTACAGACTTTGTGGAAGTCCCACGTATCAGAAAAGTTTAAACTATATCATCAAAAACGGGGGTTTTCCTTCTGAAGAGACCTGCCCGCCCGCACGGGGGGGGGTGGTGGGGGGGGTGGTGGGTGGGGTTAGAACAAGTCATGCTAGCTCAGAATCTAATTCTGTAATTCTGTCAGAACCAAGGTTTCATTTTGGTACTCTTCTAAGCAGCTTGTACATGCCAAAGATATTCTTACTCTGCCACAGATATGGGATGAAAAAGGAGCGGTACTTGGCAGGCGAGAGCTCTCTGTCCAGGTAAGGCAACGCTCCAATCACCTGAATTGAGAAGAAAACCAGTTCAGCTCATAGCAATTTATTCGGAAAAAAGTGTAAAAGCAGCCTGATTTGTACCTCCCAAGTTGATAAGTCACTTCCGCGAGAAGGGAAAGGTCGACTAAGCTGCAGCTCAACAAGGAATGTACATTGTTCAAGATCCCTGAGCTGTAAAAAACTGATGGGTTATTTTCTAAAGAAAACATAACAAGTATAGGGCACTTTAGTTTTATATAAACAAGTTTATAGAGTGGTTACATATTGGTCGACAGAAGCTTTGTTCTTATCGTTAAGATATGGCGGGGCTGATGCAGTTCCACCCAAGGTAGAATTAAATGGGAAGGGAAGAAGTCCCCGGAACCCATCATCAATCCAACGAACTTCTCCAACATAATCAGGAACAAAAAACGACGATGGGAAACGGTGCCATTCACTTCCAACACACAGAACAGAACCTGAAATGCAGAAGGAAATCCAAGAAATTTTAAGAGACGTGACTTTCCAAACTTGCATACCAAATAATCAATTGGAGAACCCAACAAGTTCCTTACACAACTTGAGAACTGAACAAGAAACATTAGTTTGGGGAGATGCGGGGCAGATAACCAAGGTGGCTAACCCAACCAATATGGAAGTGTATTGAACATTATAAAAAAGAATAAAAATACAGTATTTATCATTTTTAAGCTATACGGTTGTAGAAAGTTTATCTCGTGTAGATGGCTAGTATAACCAAGCCCCCAAAGATTAAAAAGCATATCAATTTCCAATATTTTGAGCACATGTGAAATCATTATACACAAGGCATGTGCATTATAGTTCTACAAACGAAATTGCAACATGAGTTTACTCCTTTCATTGTACATTCCAAATATTATGACGCCATATTGCATTGATTGATAACCGAACATTTAAGGAACTTTGTTGACAATGCACTCCATCGCAAGGTCAATAAATGGATAACAGCAAGATACTTGTCTTACCTGTTCCTGCATTGTCATGATCTTCTAAAAGCTTATAAACCTCTAAAGGGGCAGAATAGCCATTGATCACCGAAAACGTACGAGCATGGGAAGCACATAATATGAGGCCAAGAACCACTGGTCTTAGAATCTTTGCCGTCTACATGTACAAGCAGCAATACTGTGAGGTTCATAGAGATAATTTATCATTTTTTTGTGAAATATAGGATAAGCTCACCATAACCATCGGAGAATTGCCTTGGGAATCATAATCAGATCGGAAAAGATCAGGAAAGCTCTCTATGACAGCCGAAGCAGCAACACAAATTAGTGGATATATTGGATAAAGGAACCTGCAACGACAATTGGAAATATCTAGTTATCACTCACATCTGACCTGCAGTTAAATAACATTGAACAATCTTCATATCATGTTAAGCATTTCCATCAAAGTGACTCATTAAATGTCAAAACATTCAGATATGAAACTATATGACCCTGGCTACTCAGAAATGCAGACTGGAAAGGATGCCTATGAAAAAGATAACAAATGATTTTTATTTTTTTATTTTTTTTTGGTTGTTGTTGCAGGAAAGCACAAGGTGAGTGCTGCCTATGATTATGGTGAGATGTGGATGTCAGAACAAGAAGAATCTTTGTAGTACTGTAATTCCAGAGAAATTAGAGAATACATTTAGAAGAAAAAAAAGTAGGATAGAGGAGAAAGTATAGATGGAAATATCAACACACTCAACCTCTCAACATCATTTGATTTTTTTTTGTTAATGGCAAATGCACAACTGTGCAAATATGAGAAATTTCAGTCAACTGGAAATGTACTGTCAAGATGAGCAAATACGAAACTAGCAGGAATACGTTCTAATTCAATCAATTTAAGAGAAGTGGTATAAAACAGGCTTGCCCGGATATCATAAAAGGTAAGATTATTCAAACCTCTCTTCTTTGTGTGGTTGCAAAGACATGAACGCCAACCAAATATATATAGGCGAGACAACAATGAGCAAGCTGGGTGCATACTTTTTCCTTGCAATCGGCAGTATTGCCAGAAACAGCAATGCGAGTACAAAACAAAAGTTAAAATTGTTAAATCCATTCCTAATATAATATAGTGGCCCCTCAGTTCCATACAAATGGCTCTCACCACCTCCTGCGACGTTATAGATCAACAAATTTAACACAGATGATGTCCATTTGTTGTAGTAGTAGTGATCAACGAGAACCGACAATACCTAAAAGATATATTCAACATATAATCATAAGCATAATAAAAAAATTAAATTAAAAAGTAAAAAACTTAAAATGAGACATTTAAAACTCTGTGTGACAATTATGCAGGTACAGGCATGTACTTTGTACATCCAACAAATGTGCCAACCATTGACTTACAAGAAGAGCAACAGAGGTGGCTGCCCCGGCAAGAAAAGCTTGTTTGAATCTTCTAGCTAGAGAGTAAAATGTGACGGGCAAAAAAGCCAAAATTGAGAATGGCCAGCCAAGGATTACGCCTATGGCTGCAACTGTAACTGTCATGGCAGGTTTATCAAGAAGAAATAACCCTGATGAAAGAGACATGGCATACATAGAGAACGAACTGGGCAAAAAACCTGGAAAATAATGTCAAAAGCATTGTCATTTCATGGAATAAATAGGTCCAGAAAAGTAAGAGAAATAACAGTAAGAAAACTGAAAACAAAAATGAATAATCCAAAAATAAAAAACAAAAGTGCAGTAAGAAATCCTGAAATGGAATTTACAGATCAAGGGAGAAAAATGGAAATGGCCCACCCACTTGTGCTTGCAAAAAAACAACCACTGGTTAAGCATAGCATTGCAAGTGTGTAAGAAGCAAGGCGTTTCCCGTACTTTCTTGAAAGAGCAACTACCAGAACAGTGTCAGTGATAACAGAAAGGATAGCAAGAAAGAGTCTAACAGCATAGAATACTCTCACCTGTAAGCAAAAAAGAAATTGTTTCAGAACAACCGAATTTAAGACAGAAAATTAAATTTCAATTATAAGAAGATAACAGTTCAAAAGTCACTGGGAAAAAATTCTTACTTTTTCCTCAGCAAACAACCAGGAAGCCGGTCGACCCACCAATTCATGGAAAAGAATGTACAAATATGACCGAAGTGCAAACTGAGAACTGCAAGAGGCATACGCATATAACAAAAAAAATCATAGATGAAAGGATTTCTAAGATAGAAAATGATACCACTCAAAATCAAATTTTCAACAGCCATGATGCACAGTATTTTAAGAGCACGCAGCAAAGGATAAGATTACTGACCATGGTTAATGATGAGCATCTAATTCCACCTACAAATGCTAATCCAAATCATATATCTCTATGCCATTAGGTACAAATTCTAATGTCAGTTTGTAAGGATCAAATGGATGAACCCAAAGCCATTATACCGTGAGATTCACTTGTAGTTACAAAAGTGCAAATAAGAAAGAAAACACATTGATTCCATAAGAAGGCTGCAATTGGTTCATGAGCTGTAATGCTAACTTTGAGTAACAAAAAAATAAACTTGCCAATAAATTAAATCCAGAGACAAAAGCAGAGCCTAATAGTTTTCTATAAACAAGAAACAAGAAATTTGCAAGAAACAAAATAAAATAAAACCCAAAAAGTAAAAACAAGCCAAACCCAGATACAAGCACGAAAGAAATGAACAAAATTTCCACTTCAGAGAAAGAAAAGTTTCAAAAGCAATTGAAGGGTACCTGTATTCCCAAGTTTGGAACCCAGATTTGTAGAGAAGGTAATGCAGAGGTTCCCAATAGTTGAAGACCTCGTCACAGTCGTGTATGATGTTTGAGGTAGCGCTCATGTACCTTAGCATTCCCAAAGCGACCAAGGGAAAGAACCAACGAAACCCTTTGTCAAACCCATCGGCGTCACCCGATTTCCCTTGCTTATCGACTTTTGAATAAGATGAAGATGGTGATGATGATGATGCAGAAGAATCAGACGGCTGAGGACGTCTCAACCTCGTAGACAGAGACATGGTGACTGGTAAAGGCTATAAACTACAGTGAACTCTGCTATAGCTTTTCTGGGTCACTCTGTTACAGAACAGAGAAGGAGAAGCGAGCGAGCCTTCAGTGAAATGGGTCTCTAGAGGAAAATGATCCTTTGCTTTGTTGCAAAGTAAATTAAGAAACTCCGAAGATTTAAGACCACCACCAGTCCACCACCTATGTTAAAGTTTCGATTTTTTTTTAATTTCCCAAATACCTTTAGCCTGAAACACTATCACTAGTTTATTTCTATTAATCAAAAAACAACTATTTTATTTCTTTAAAGCTTGGAAAAAAGGAAAAACAATCTACAAAAAGAAAAAAAAACCACCCTGGCCTTACTTTTATATATATATATATTACCTTTCCATTGAGGGATTCTTTAAATAATTTTATTTGAGAGACATTTTTTAGGGTCCCTTACAAAAATAATTTCAACAATCCAAACCATCTAAGTCTAAATTCATAGATTATCCTTGCAAAAAATTAGACAAATCGAAAACTGTTTCGACATCCAATTGTGTCTTACAAAATCAATAAATACAGTGCTTTAAAAAAGTACTAAAAAAAGTACTAAAATTTCAATAACTCAGTTGAGTTTTCAAATGATATCGAATTCAAATGATTTTTTTTGTAAATATGATCTTTAAATAAAAATCTACAAAATATACAGTTTGAATTAGTGAAATACAATACAGAGTGGGCCTTGTAAATGTGTCCCTCTAATAAGCTTATTAAAATGAAAATAATTAAACAAAAGGAAAATAAGAGTTCATGCCCAAAATATTCTCTATAAATAAGGATAAAAATAACAAAAACATATTGACGTTAACAGTGGCGAGGTTAATGTAGCTTGAAATGCGTTGTTCTTATCTTTACAGGTTTATGGTCTTCTTGCCTTTTTCACTTTCATCAGTTCTCCTTCGTCAATATTCAGGGTCACTCTAATTACATTTGTGTCGTTCAAATTGGAATATTTGCAATAAATTTATTTTAATTTTTCCTTTCTATCATTTTTTGTTTTCATTTTTACGAATTAAAATTTGAACTTCTTTGGTTGAATTGTGCGAGGATAAAATGATTTTAACATTTGATGTCCCCGAAGTTCAAATTTTGATACTTCAAAATTGGCGACCTTGATAAATTATCATGTTCCTGTTTTGCTTCAAAATTGGGAGACTTTGGAAAAACCAAAATGAGAGAGAAATTTTTAAAAGAAGCCAAAATGGACAAAATTGCCCTTATTTATTTTTGGATTTCCTAAAGAATCCTTTACATTTGCATGTCTTTGATTTGAAAGTTGAGAGATTTTTCTGTCTTTTTTTGAAAAGCTTTGGCTTTTTCCAAAAGTGAAAGTTTTTTTTATGACTAAAACCTAAATTTACTTAGTTTTGTTGTTGTTTAAACTACACGAGAGGTGAGTTTCTCGTATATACTACCACGGTGCCATGAGAGTTCGAACCTGAGACCACTAATCTGCAAGTGAACGCCATTTTCCACTGGGTTAGACCCTGTTGACATATAACACCAAGGTATTGAACATGAAGCACATAACACCATTTGTATTGAAGCATAACAAACAGTGCCACTGAGTTTAATTTCTTCTGTAGGAAGAATTACAATGCTGGCTGGCTGTAGTTATTGTGCACAGCAATCTGATCATAAAACTTAAAAAGTTCACTCAAATATCTTGACCTTTAGGTGAATGATTAAAAGGCATCCACTTGGGGTAAGTTATAACATAGTTTTTGGGACACAGCCCATCTGTAGAGACACAGAAAAGTAGAAAGGAAAGAGCACAAAAACACATTTAACCAGTGTTCTGCAAGCCAGCAGCAATACCCTTCATTGTCAAGATGAGGGTGTCCTCCAAACCAGGCGCATACTCACTTGTTGGGTTCAGCTTCACAAGTTCATTAGCTGGCTTGTTTGCTTCTGTAATGTCCTTTGAGATGTGAGGCCGCAGCGTCACATGGAAGGTTGGATCACGAATTCGTTTCAGTGTATATGCTTGGCAAACATTAAGGGTTGTGATGTATGAATCACGCAGGCGGAGTCTTTGCTTCAGGTGCGGGTCCCCTTCAAGAAGATCCTTGTGTCCAGCAATCTACCAACAGAAAATGAAAAAAATTAATTTATGCAGTAATTAGTCACCACAAACGCCCCATGGTTAGCCGATATTATGCTGACTCTACTCAGCCTAACAAAGCTGAACAGATGTGTTTTTCATTGCACTAACCAATATGGGTTATGAACTTATGAGAATAGCCTTAAACTGTGAAATTTTGGACTTGGGGTCAAAACAAATCAAGTTCAAAGAGAACACGATATGACAAGAGAAGCATATGCATTATACCTGTAACAGAAGGTTCTTGGTCTCTTCATATTTGGACCTTAATCGCTCTGCAAATGACCATAGGTCTTCTGAGACAAGGAGTTTATCATATAAAGCAGCTATTCCAGGGTTTCCCTTTGCAAACACCATTTCAACCAAATCAATAGTGACCCTAAAGAAAGGCCATTGATTGTACATTTCTTGCAGCATGTGAAGATTCTTAATGTCCTTCTGAATGACATGCTTGAAGGCTTCTCCGAAGCCTAACCACACAGGAAGATGGAACCTTGTTTGTGTCCAGGCAAAAATCCATGGGATTGCACGAAGTGACTCAATGCCCCCACTAGGCTTTCGCTTTGAGGGCCGGCTTCCAATGTTCATCCGACCATACTCCAGCTCTGGTGTAGCCTAGATCACAAATACACAATGGTCATTAAATTGAAATTCATCAGAGTAGAAAAACTAATATGATTAGAGTAAGTTCATAAATGCTTACAAGACGGAAATACTCGACAAATCGGGGTTCTTGGAAAACAATGGAACGATAGTCCTCTGTAGCTACAACAGCCATTTCATCCATAAGTGCGCGCCATTCTGGTTTTGGTGAAACTGGCAAATGCATTCCGTGCTCTAGGGTAGCAGCTGTGAAACGCTGGAGTGTTCTAAAACACAAGAGCTCCTCTCCGAATGACTGCTCAATAACTTCACCTTGGACAGTGACACGGAGTGAACCGTGAATTGTATCTGGCGGTTGAGACAATATAGCAAGATGGGTGGGCCCACCTCCCCTTCCAACAGTCCCACCACGACCATGGAACATGGTTAGCTTCACACCAAATTGCTTAGCAACCTTTATAAGATCCTCCTGTGCCTTGTATAACTGCCAGGCTGCAGAGAAACGTCCTGCATCTTTACCAGAATCTGAGTACCCAATCATGACTTCTTGCTTTCCATTGATCCGGTCTCTATACCAATCAATCGAGAAGAGCCGAGCCAGAGCAGCAGGAGCAGCCTCCAGATCTGCAAGCTTCTCAAACAGTGGAACGACCCTTAGTGGTTTCTTCACATGGCATTCACGTTGCAGGAGCTCAACTGCAAGCACATCAGATGGAGCAGTCGCCATGGAGATGATGTATGCTCCAAAGTTATCAGATGGAAGTTCTGATATCACATGTAAAGTGTCCAGAACATCAGAAATTTCTTCAGTTTTTGGAAGATCAGGACCAAACAATGGACGCTTTCCACTTAGTTCAGATAAAAGCCACTCCTGCCGGCGTTCTTCAGACCACTCTCGATAGGAACCAATTTCCAGATGCTTGGTGATCGCATCGATCACATCAGTATGCCGGTCAGATTCTTGCCTAATATCAAGCCTCACCAATGAAAGTCCAAAGGTAGACACTTGCCTTAAGAAATCAAGAAGCGATCCATCAGCAATTGCCCGGTCACCACAAGAGCAGAGTGATCTGTAACAGAGTTCCAGAGGTTCCAAGAACTACACATAATTTAAATCTCAATTAGGACTTGAACAGATTAACCAGATTAGGAGAATAAAGGGGGAAGTTATAATTTGATACTGTATCTGATAGACTGCAATCATGCAATATTTCTTAAGAATGGCAGTACCTGCTCAACACTGGCCAATGTTGCCTCCTCGGGAATGTCAGAGTGCCCACAAGATAACAACTGACGAGAACGTTCACGTGTATGATAAAGCTTATCCCTTACATCACCAAGAATCACACGGTAGGGTTCATTTGGAGGAACTTGTTTCCAAAATTCTGTATTGAGACACAAAGGCAATGAGCATCGCAAGTAGCACAATGTTTGACCAAATTACAATGCATAAAAGGAACAAAAGTTGCAAAACTTGGAAACGAAAAGAACTTGTGTTTGTTGTGTTGGTCTCTAGAATAACAGTGGGTATTTTCTTGGGCAAGCCTGAACAGGATCTGGATCCTTTAAATGTGATTCCTAATAATTAAAGGTCATCTGCCTTATATGGTATACAAAAGAGAGAATTTTAGTTCTCTAAATTGGGTACAACAAGAAAAGTTCACTGTAATGTACCATATGAATCTGAGATTTACATGCTATCATCATATACAGATGTCAGCTTTAGGCTGAAATGTGCAAGTATAATTTTGGTTGTCCTTTTTGAAAAAAAATTATCTCAGACAGTAAAACTGGTTGACATTGTGTTACTACAATAAGTTACGGTTGCAGGGCTATAAAATATTAATGTAAGCTAGCATTACCAAGAGTTAAGTTTTACTTGGTCGGTGCATTGTGCACCTATTTAAACTTCTTCCGCTAGTTTATGCTACGGTTCCACAACTAGTAAATTTCAGCCTAGTCAATCACTTCTTCTCAAAACAGACATAAGTTTATCATTCCTTTTCTATATATATTACAAAACAAAGGGTACAAGAAAAGATTGGCAAGAAATCCATCAAAGCTAACTGACTACCAGAAAATAACAAAGGGATGATAACATGGTCAATCACTGAATTTCACAACAGACATTAGTTTTCAATCCTATTATTCTCTGGTCCATAGCACCATTTAAAATATTTACAGCATTGAAAAATGTTCTCCATCATTATGTGCAAACTATACCTCATTCTAGTTTCTTTAAATCCATCCCAAAGTTCAGCATAACACGTAGATTTTAAAAACCATATAACAGAACCAATTAGTATAGGGATATGATTACCTATGTAGTGTTTTGCATCTCTCCTCGTGGACCTGTGAAGTACATCTGCACGGACACGGAGTTCATCATTGCAGCGCCACATAGACAACTGCCAGTAAAAGAGAATAAATTAGCTAAACACAGACACTAACATAGTAAAGAAACAATAAACGAGTAACAACCACTTCATTAAGTAAACGAAGCTCCTTAAAGACAACTTCAAGATGCTTTGTCAGCTACCTCAAACATAAGATCCTCTATCTGAGAATAGTACAAGTTTGCAGCCATCATTCTAGCTAGTAGGCAAACATCCCTTGTGACCTCAGGAGTTACTCTTGGATTACCTGCATCCCATGGAAAAAATAAGTTAATTAATGAATGATTTGCACAACCACACAAGTCACCAGACAAAATTATCTGCAAATAGCAATGTACAATTGTACTTCAATGCTTCTTCCCAGAAAAGTTATTCTTGTAATTGCCACTATACAATTTTTAAAGAGGAGGGGCATAACATCACAAACCTACCTGTAATTAACTACTAAGACCAACCTGACGCCTAAATGTAATTCCATCTTAAGTTAAAAATAAAAACTACAACAACAAGATCACACGATGCGAGTACAATACTCAATAGATTATTTTGCATGCCTTTCTGCTTTCTTTTTTTTTCTCACTGCACCAAACTATTTTTACATAAGTCATGCTCATGAAGAAGGGTCATACCATCACGATCGCCACCCATCCAAGAAGAAAATTGAATAAGTGGGGCATTATGGGGAACACGTTCGTTAATCCCAATATTCTTCAATGCTGTGTCAACACGACGCAAGAACTTTGGGACACCCTTCCAAATTGTTTCGTGGAAGTAGCTCATCCCAGCCCTCATTTCATCTTGTGGAGTGGGAGGTGTTCTCCGGATCTCATCCGTGCGAAATGCAGCTTGAATCTACATGAATTGAAATACCAAAATGAAGGGAGAATAATTGACAATTGATATAAGTTAGTACTCAGAATATCCTTCCAGATTGTTTCATGTAAACATAATATATGGAAAATCTTGCCATCGTGAGATCATCTTAATTTCAAATGAACAAACAATGAACTATACAGTAGTTAACACATTTTCAGCAACAATATATGTGGCAAAAGTTACAAATGTCCTTTTCGAAAGTTCCTGTCAATAACATCAAGAATTGATAGTACATAAAGTAAAATGGGTGTTGATAATCACCTCTCTCTGAAGTGCCTCATCAATCTCCTGCTTATCATCAGGAGTAATGTCTTTGGCATACAACTGAGTTAAACAATTCCGAATCCTGAAAAAAAGTGAGTGTACACGAATGAGAGGAGAGAGAGAGAGAGAGAGAGAGAGAGAGAGAGAGAGAGAGAGAGGGTACAAGAGTCTAAGCCATAACACTACATGGGGAATCTTAAATTTTTTATGAAAATCAAAACCAAAATCATTTATACAAACAAAAATCAAGGACGCGAGACTGTATTGGATCAAGAGCAAACCTTCCATGCTTCTGAAGCAAGGATCTACGAACTGATTGTGTAGGATGAGCAGTGAGGACCAGATCTACAGTCTGATTTTTTAAAGCCTCAAAAACCTCTTGGGGTGACTTCTTTAGATCCCCCACAAGCCTCTTAAGAGTTTCTTCAATGTCTGATTCAGTTGTTGCAGAATTTTCATCTGCAAAGTCACCCTTCTTCAGCTTGTTTCGTCTGCGGTAAGCAATCTGGACCTCCTCAGCCAAGTTAGCCAAGCTAAGCATGTGCGAGAAGGATTTTGCAACAACAATGGAATCCCCTGGGTCCAAACTTGTTAATACATTTCCGAGCTCTGAGAGTTTTTTTGCATCATGCTTTCCTTCGTACTCCGCAGAAAGCTCATAACATGCTTGGACCTACAAAAAGTTAAACATTACAAATCACATAAGTGTTAATTGCTCAACTCATAACACTATTCACAGTAACTTTCGACACAAAACCAATAACTTTAAGGATTTCTTTTGTCTTTCCTTGTCCTAAGAGAAACTTAAAGATATGAGTTTGGCCTTGGATCCGTCAAATGTGGCTAAGACTTGTTCTCCAATCCAAAACCAATTCCTACTGAAGAAGATCTCAAACTTAAATCACTGGGAATCTCACATACATCATTAAACAATAAATCAAAAGCCTAAAAGTTGTTGATTAAGATATCTGGAATGGTAGTTGAAATGTAACCAATTCCAATTGCAAATTAAAGTGTTTGGATCATGGGTGTTGTGTTGTGTTGACCAAATCAAACCTGTATATCTCAAACTGATAAGAAATTTGTTGATAAAGGTATCGTCATGGGTCTTTTATGAAATTCCACTTTTTAAAGAAACTGAGATTTAGATGTTCCTTAAAGCCAACAAAATACACGAACAATCAACACATAAAGTTCCATGCTTATAAGAATAAACTTACAAATATAGCCAATTCCAATTTCAAATTCAAGTGTTCTGCATCATGAGTATTAACCAAAATCAAGGGTAAACATCTCACGCTGATCAAAATCAATTTTTACAGCAATCAAAACTCAAGCACTCACCGTTTCCCTGAGATCCTCTCCATGTAAATCTTGGAGAATATCCAAGAACCGATCCAAAAGCAGAGCATCATATTCAACCAGCTTGTCATCCTCGCTCACTTTGGCTGGAACCAGAAGCCGAAGCTGAGCGTCAATGGACGCCAACTTCTCCAGATTCCTGTTAGCCATTGCTTCCACAGAGCCTCACTCTGTGACAAATAACCCAATACAAAAAAGAAAAATATGAAAAAGAAAAATCAGAACTTGAAAACCCAAAAAAAATAAAAATATATATAAATGAGCTGAAATCACGGATTGAATCAAAGCACAATGGCCAAAAATCCTGATCACGGCCCAGAAAAATAGAGCCTATAAAATGGAGGGTTTAACAGATAAAGGCCACGTGTAGAGGGGAGACAGTGCAGTGCGGGGTATGAGCATACTAAAACAGAGCATTTACGAAGAAAAAAGTTGATATTTGTATGACCCAGATGGGAAATGATTGAGCTTTGTGGATAAATGGGGTACCTGAATCAGGGGAAGTAGGATTTCAACAAGAAGAAGAGAACGAAAACTGGAACCAATGTCTCAGTTACAGAGAGGGAGAGAGAGAGAGAGAGAGAGAGAGAGAGAGGTGTGAGATCCAAAGGAAGTGCTTGGAGTTATATATATAGAAAGTGTTTGAGTCTGTCAATTTCAGAACTTTGTCTGTCTCACCGTCACTGACACGCCCACTCTCTCGCCAAACTTGAATTTTCTCTGTTTATTTATTTACCAGTCACGTCCTCTTTTGTCTCTCCCTCCGCTGCTTCGTAAAACTTGGGGAAGACCTTCTTGGGGAAGACCTTCAACTCGGAATATCCCAACAAAGATGCTGCAATTAGTCACTTAGTGCACAACTTGTGTACTTTCCATTGTGAAAATGCTTTTCTAATGTGAAAAAATTTGCTTTTATGTAAAATGGAAGAACAAAAACAGAGGTAGGAAATTAGGAACTAGGTTCCAAAACTTAAAAAGGGTTTCTTATTTCCTCAAAATGAAGGACTAGAATATTGATAATATCGACGAAATATTGTTCATATTATCATTTTTTTGGGTCTATGATATTTTGGAACATATCCATACACATATCGTTTAAGTATTGATAATATCGAAAGATATTGATAATAGCGAGATGATAAAGACAGTGAAAATTTTGAAGAGTTATTTATAACTAACACTCCCTGAGGTTTCTTGTGTTTTCCCAAAACCCCCTTAAGTCTCAAAAATTACACGAACACCCCATGAGATTTCAGTTTATTTTCACAAAACCCCTTTTCATTAATTGTTTGTCCAAAAATTGATGATTTCATTGGAAAAAAAAACTTATGCAAATGACAAAATTAACCTCAATGAAGTATATGCAATCTAATCCCAAAGGCTAACTTTGTCATTTGGATATTTTTATTATTATAAAATCATCAATCTTTGGATGAAAAATCAATGAAAATGAGTTTTGTGAAAAAGCCGAAAATCTCAAGGGGTGTTAATGTAAATAACTCAAATATGAATTTATAGGAACTCTATGTGGTACTAAGTCACTTATATATCTTACCATGCAATGTATAAAATGTAAAATATTATAGTAAAATATTATAAATAAATGATTATTGTGTGTTTAATCTTCTTTCATTAATTACTACATATTTTCTACACTTGCAGTGTTTGTCAGCTCGTTATATAATCAACTTAAATTGGTTAAACTCATCATGCAATGCATTTCTTTCCAATTTTTTATTTTTTGTGATAAAGTAATAGATAATTGACTAAATAAACATCCTCCAAAATTTCAAAAAAATTTCCAAATTTTTCTTACAATTTCCGTGATTTTTATTCAATTTTTATCAATATAGATAATTTCATGATATTTCTATCGAAATTTTCATATTTTTGGACCACTAATATTTATGAAACCATCGATATTTTAGACTTTGCTTAAAATAACTTATTAACATTTATCTTTCCCATCTTCAGTTCTTCTTCTTTTCCTTTTTTAGGAAAAAAGATAATTAAATATAGCTACAAATTGTCAACAAAAGATGCGACTTGTTTTAATAACAAAAAAAAAGATGTGACCTTTTTCATTTCTAAAACAAAAGATCGAGTCTTTACATTTTCCCTAAGACAAAAAATTGATTTCTCATGCTTTTATAGGAAATCAATGATTTTCCATGTTCAATAAGTCTATATATTAGAAATGATTACTTGATACATGAGAAATTATGGGAAAAAATGAAGGCAAAAAAAAAAGTGACTTTTTGAATTTCCAAAACAAAAGATCGAGTCTTTATATTTACCCTAAGACAAAAAATTGATTTCCCATGTTTGGTTTATGGGAAATCAATTATTTTCCATATTCTGTAAGGCCATATATTAGAATGATTACTATGGCACATGAGAAATTATGAGAAAAAATGAAGGCAAAAAAAAAATGACTTTTTAAATTTCCAAAACAAAAGATCGAGCCTTTACAATTACCCTAAGACAAAAAATTGATTTCCCATGTTTGGTTTATGGGAAATCAATAATTTTCCATGTTCAATAAGTCCATTTATTAGAAATGATTACCTTGCACATAAAAAAATTATGGAAAAAAAATGAAGGCAAAAGAAAAATGACTTTTTTAATTTCCAAAACAAAACATCGAGTCTTTACATTTACAATAATGTCTTTCACTTTCACAATTTTAAAATTTGATCTAGCCCAAAGGCTTTACTAGGATGTGAATTTTTTTTTAATTCTAATAAGATGATGACATATCTTAATACAAATCTTATCTCTTTCAATGGTAATGTACTTGACTAATGATACTATTGATACATATAGATTATTGTATGCATGCTATTGAATTCTTTTCATGTGATTTTGCTTTATAATAGCTTTTCGCTATAACGTTTTCTCAATTTCAAGGTAATTTCTTTAATCTTCTCCTATTATGATTTAAGCTATCTAAATCAATAAAAATTTGAAGCTCTTAATCTATCAAGGCATAGAAAATAATTTATCCCAAGTTAGTTCCCCACTTGGCTTACAATTGTTTGATTCAAATTTAGAATAACTTTTCTGATAACACGCTCACGCACGCATAACATTCATTGGATAGATTTTTTCACGAATGTTAAGCCTATACAATTTTAGATTTGAAGTATCAAATTTTGGATCAACCATCTATGTCTTAAATAATCAATCATGTCAGTAAATGAGACTAAAGTTAAAGAAAATTGAATAGAAATAAGATTTTACTCGATTGAATTGAATAAAAAACTCAGACAGTTTGTATATATTATTGGACGAATATTAACCTGTCGACATATATGTGTATATATGTGTGTGCGCATATAGACAGAAGAAGCATGCGCACATTGTCAGGTCAACTAAAAAATATTCTATTCAAACAAATAGTATGAACATGCTTGCATGAGAGCCTCAACTGAATGATAATTGTTTTATTCTGTAATTTCTTTCTCAACTGCGTGAGTGATCAATCATGCAGACAGTCACCAACCACATGATCCAAGTACTCAGGTTGTGGCCCCATGCACATCAATCACGCATGCCTGCATGTGATGTGGTCTAGGTCACATTTACTCAAAAGAATAAGTTTTTTTATAATAAAAAATAATATTGTTGACACCATGACATTGACATCCAATAACTTCGGTGCCTTTTTGTGTTGATTTACCTACAAGAGGTCAATTGTCCCCTCGATAGCTCGATCACATGCATTATAAACGGGATACTTACGATATTTCTAATCTTAACTCGTCTTTTATAAGTTTCTTCTAAAATAAAATTACGTTTTACAGGAAGACTAATAAATTTATAAGAATTTATATAGTACCATATAAATAACTGCGAACAAATAATCAACAATGGTACTAACATATACAAGTTTGTTATGTCGAAATCGGATTATTTATGTTCAACACGAAGGCATTATAAAATGTATATTGGACTTTTGAAGAGTGTTATGCATACTTATTCAATGAATTATGCTATAATCTAACAATTTGATAAATAAAAAATATTGAAAATTGTGTTATGAATCTTTCATCACTCATGACAAAAGTAGCACATTCTTATACTTTGAAGAAAAAAGAGAGCATATTCCTTCCTAAAGTGTAGCATATTCTTTTTCATATTTTTTCAGTTTTGACTAAGGTAAAATTTAACTGCCTTTGTTTGCAGTTTATGTTGACTTCATCAGCTCAAGGGGAAGTCATATTCATATAAAGGATGAATAAAGGAAATATATATATATATATCTGAAGTTGCAAGTTTCTTCACTCCTCGTTGTGAGAGTTTGACTAAAGATAGTGGTCGGTGATTGATAAGTTGCGGGAATTATAGGGAGGTGTCTTTCTGCTTATTAAAGTGCTTTTTTATTTGACTGCTTATCACCCACGCTTATCTGGTTGACGAACTATGAAAATAAGTGCTTATATAAAATAAAATAATACAAGTGTTTATTATTCACGAAAAAAGAAAAAAGTCGAAGCTGAAAGTGAAGTCCAGTATCCCACCGTGATGGAGCAAGCACGTGAGAATCCCTCAATTTTTATTCTTTAATCGGTTTCAATTTGTTATTGAATCCCTCAATTTTATGAAGTTTCTGTTAATAATTATTTAAATTGAAAAAAATGTGGTAAGTGTAGTATTATACTTCTTTAAATTGAAAAAAATATCTTCTAAATTGTTTATCCTTTTTTATTATAAAATCGATAATCTATTATTTTAAATTAATTTAATTTATAAAAAGAAAGACTCCAACTTAACACCCCGACTAACTAACCTAATTCACATCGTTTATCTTTTAAGTTGCACAGAGATATTTGACAACCACACATGAAGCTAACACCATGAATCTTGCAGGCTTTCACGGTGGTATACACGTCAACCCTTGCCACACCAACAGGCAAGGCAACATGACGCCACCTACTTCAATTGTTTCGGGGCATGTCATCATCTTATTTTATTGGGTTTTTGTGATTCAGAAATAAAAACAAAAGGGGGCAAGTCGTGCCATATTTTTTCTGATTCAGCAGCACATTCCATGAGATTCAAAGATTCCACCATAAGTCAGTCATATATTAAGGGAGGCCCACAGTATAGGCGGATAAGGCGGTGGTTTAGGGTCTCCAAATTGAGAG